GGAGCCACGGGCATGAAGGATGGCAGTGACTTGAAAGCCTGATCCAAGGCACATTTCTGACGAGCTATTGTATTTTATTTTACTTTCTCATTTCTTAATGAACATGTGAAGGGGGGCAAGCTGGTGGATCACTCCCTTTTTCCATTGTCAACCCTTCGGCCGATGCTTGGCTCCGTGCACTTCTTGCTCCGTACACTTCTTGATTGGCCTTCAGAGAACGAAGATATAGGTGCCTTGCTAGTCCTGTATTGACTTTTGTGGCTTGGACACATCATGGGCGTCGGTTTATCACTGATTCAGCCTGCTGCCGGTAGGATTGTCTTTGAGTACTGTGCCGAACAGGGGGCGGGCCATTATGCATAAATGGATCTTTGGTAAAAAGCCTCTCGCATAATGGATTCTAGAGCATCCTCGCAAAATGAATCCTTGGCAAGGATTGACCCAGTTCCCGCCTGCAACGTCTCAGGTGACATTATCGGCGCTTGACGATGGGCCTTGCAATACCACATGAAGAAATATGATGCGCTGCTGCCTTTTCCGCTTTAGTGTCTTCGCCGCCCTTGTTCGGGCGCTATGTCAGTGAGGTCTGTAACGCTGGATCTGATCTGAAATGTGACAAATCTGGATCATGGTGTTCTGGTTGAGATAGCTATGTGTAGGCCAGGCCACTATGCGGCACAACGGCATCTACTGGGAATATCTGGAAACTAGAGACTGTGGGGGATCTGTGCTTGAATCTCCCGAGATGCCATTATCTTCCATCCTAATATTTCTCTCTTTCAGCAACCAAGTTTCAGCATCTTGCGAGGTGTACATATCTTCACCATATTATCCGTATGATAAGCGGACATTCAGTGCACTCCAATAGAGTTCGTGCCAAGCGTTGATCATATCATTGGGCATAAAAGCGGCGTTGCTTAGGAACTGGTCGAACTACCTCGAGCAAGTTTTCATGTGCTTTTCTGCTGCCAACAGACACACGTAAGTACCTATTACCGAATCGTGCATTATGGTTATGGCCTAAAAACAAACCCACAGCGCATTTGGAAGCCCGTAAACAATGCTACATAACCCTGGCGGCTGCATGGCCCCAATAGCAGGCTAATGCATCCTAATCACACTCGGCCAACGCAATATTGGTCTCTGCTCGCCAAGCATGAAATCACGGAATGAACCTCCGGCTATGTGCTTAAAACCGGAAAAGCACCTGGATACCTTCAGAAAGGGCATCTGGCACATTCCGTCCAGAACCACAACTGCATTTGGTCGTTATTCGTCAGAACCCGTCCCACAATGGCACCAACTCAACTCTCCCCATCCGCCTTGCTGTACACTCCCACTACGACTGATTCCGAGCCCACTGTCAGCTCTCGCAATGCGCCAAAGGTGGTCATTCTGACGACCTGGATCTTTGCCCGCCGTGACCACATAGCCAAGTATGTCGAACAGTACCAGGCATTGTACCCAGGGGCAACGATCCTTGTCATCGAGTCGTTTCTGTATCACTTCTTACGGCCATTCACCCTACGAGAAGAGCTGACGCCCGTTGTTCCCGCCATCCGAGGCATCCTCGGTGATGGAGCAAACCAAACCGGCAAACCACAGCTGCTGTTGCACGTCTTCTCCAACAGCGGCCTAGGCACATCATGGGTGCTGAGAAATGTATACCAAGCAGAGAGCCCTGCCAATGACAAAGGGATCCTGCCGCAGCATGCCACCATCTTCGACTCATCGCCTGGTCGTTACGACTACTGGGCAGTCGTCGCGGCGTTGCTCTACGGTATACCCTCAAGCGCCTGGCTGCAACGCATTGCCGCCATGCCGCTCGCTCACATGCTCAGCGGAGGCATCTGGGTGTGGTGCCGCGTGTTCGGGGGAGAGGACTGGGTCCTGAGATATGCCCAGGCGGCCAACAACCCGTCCCGAGTCGACGAGGTGTGTCGGGCCTACGCCTATGGAAGAGCTGACCGGCTGGTCCCGGCCCACTGGGTTGAGGCCCATGCTGCGGATGCCACTGTGCAAGGGTTCAATGTCAAGAAAATGGTCGATTTCGGCGCGAAAAGCGCTCATGTGGCTCATGCGAGGACTGATCCATCACGGTACTGGGCGTTGGTGGCTGACACTTGGAAGTCCGCCGTGCATGATACCAAGCTTTAGATGAGGAAACTGTTGAAGATGGAAGTTCCCGCGAGGGAATGACATTGGTAGAGCAGTGTGAAGGTTACATTCATGTATCTAGATGATCCGTTTTTAGTCCATGGGCCAATCGGGAGCACGTACATGAGCTGAATCGACTGATAACCCAAAGTGCTTACGTGGTCTCCTTTCTGGGCATCTGTGCTCACTGCACCTGCAGGCTGGCTTATGCCGTGGCTATGAGTAACGGAAGCTGCCGGATCTAGTCATTCTATTCAAGGTTAATTCTTGTTCAGACACACAGGGGTTGTGCTAACCGTATCGCCGATATGAACCGCTAGTTTCAATGTACGAGCATGGGTCTGTTTCGGTGCGATTCAAATAAATGTCACTCAAGTTGCCTCCACCTTTGTGTACACCAATACTCGACCAAAGTCCTGGTTATATTGATGGCACGTATGCGAGTTTCTGCAAGAGTCTGTAAAGAAATGGAAGGAGAGCTGACATTGCTGACGGTAGATCCATGTAATTGTCATTTGATTGGATCTTGGACCTTGTTTTTGTTTGCACGGAGGAAGCCAGGAACATCTGTCAAGGAGACGATGTCACCATCTCATAGTTCCCTCAGCCATTCTGCACTGCCCTCCGGCCGGACAAACCCGTTTGGGGTCAGTTAGACGCTGGCGGAATCCTATTGATCCCTTCTATGTAACGGAAGATCCATATGGAGATTCTCCTCCTGAATTTAGTACATACAATGTTCTCACACATCAATCCACCACGAAGGCCACTTTAGCCAAAGATCTTAGCATGTGATCGCGACTCCTGTCATCGTATATCCTTCAGCCGCACGTTATTTTGAGATGGGAAGGCATGCACGCCGGATACCCTCGGAGCACTAGACAGGGGATGAACGTCGGTTTGTTCATGGGGTGCAGATCTCATGAGCTTTATCCAGGAAAACTAAATACACTCTTGCCTAACTAAGTTTCTCCTCCGCATGCTTAACATCTACTCAGTGGAGAGACTGATGGTCCGGCGGATTGCATTCACGCTGAGGTGGACCACATCCTTCGTGCTGGATCCAGACCCTGAACCGGGCACTTCATGACGCCCAGGATGAATGTACATGGACCGGACTGCAGAATTGCAAATCCCGCTGAATTCCTTGGCCGCTGCCGCATACGAATCCCCAGACCCGTAAATGTGGGCAGTCGGAGTGTCAATCACCTGTCCAACTCTATCGGACGGCAGTGGTACCATGCGCCCATCATGGAGAATGTCTGGGTCAAGAGCCGTCGCGGCCCCGGAAAAGAACACCCCGCAGCGAACGCTCGGGAGCTGTCGCCTTTGACGGTGGACTAGCCAAGTGCCTGCGAGACCGACGCTCTGACTGAAGGCGATGATGCCATCAAAGGGGCCTTCAGAGTCAAAGTAGCTGTCAAGGTTGACGAGGGCAGCCAGGGCAGAGGGAGCGTCATTCTCTTTGAAATAGGAGAATCCTTGGTCATTTCCTGCACCCAGCGAGCTCAGATCTAAGACAAAACTATTAGCAGTCAGCCAACGTAGGAGTTGCAATGATCATGTGGATGAAAGAGCAAGAGACGAACAACCCAGACAGCTAGAAGGAACCATTTCTCTCAGGGCCACGTAAGACTTGAACGTCAGACGTATTTTTAAGGTTTTGAAAGAGGACCAAGAGTTATCTTGAGAGCTTAGTGGAAGGCTCGCGCCCCAACTTTGACTTCGGAGCCGCAGTTACCTCGTGACCGTGACTCACTTCCCGTAAACTGAACTCTATCGAGGACAATGAACGCTTGTGAATTGGATAATATCCCCTTACCTGGATCGATTTTGGCGGCAACATTACCCTCCACGAAGTCATAGGTGTGGTTTTCTCCTATCTCGTACCGTATAGCAGCTTCACTTTTTCAGCCTTCGGTTCTGAGTGCTGGAAGGATCAAAGCGCTTCGTCTGAATACTCACCTGTTTGCATCTCAAAAATCTGCCAGACAAGATTAGCTTTGATTCTCGTTTGAGGGTGATGAAATCACCATACTTTGGAGTTTGTACCCCTTCCATGAAGGCTTTCCAGAAAAATTACATCAGTGCCTGTCTAGAAAGAGACGTCGTTTCCATACACGGCAGGACCTACCAAAGGAAACGCATAGCTGCTTTGGAACACCGTCGTACCTGGTAGAGAATTTGTCTACTCTGAGTAGTAGCTATCTCACTACGAGCTTACTTCATAAGAAAACAGTGAGGCCATTTGTAGGCACCAAATACGGTAATAATCAAGCCTCACCACGTAGCTTCATCCAAACAAAAAGCTTACTACCGTTGTCGTAGCTGATGCATCATTTAAGGCCGCGTATGGGCCGACGTTGCATGCATGAAGGAGGGAGGGCCCAGATCGGCCACTTCCGTATTGGGGTGTGAAGGAGCTGGCCCATCGGGCGCACGCAAGTGATACGACGTTAACGCAATGCGGTGGAACCTCCTTGATACCTGTGCAAATGTAGGAAGATCTTTTGTTGGCATTAGCCGAGGACTGGCTTGGCACCCGACGGAGTTGCGAGCAAACAAGGCTTAGAGCAGCAGATACCGAGATAGGCAGTACACATCATCGGAGTGGATCAATGCGTTGGAAGTTGAGAAATACTAGTCACAGTGAATCAATGCCTCGGCGGTTATGGCCCGGGGAATCCTAGTTCTGGTGTAAAGACTTTAGCATCTATATAGCAGGAATGGCATAAACGAAGAAGAAACGACGCCAACAGAATACATACTATTCCCATCTGTTCTAGCATATTGGTCTTCCCTCATACGTTTCTCACTCCCGTCAAGGAGCGTGCAGAAACAACATGGGCTCACCGAATATCCAGAATGAGTCGAATGACTTCAATTCTGGGGGCCTCATGCCTCTGGCTGTCGTGGGCATGTCTTTCCGTTTCCCTCAGGATGCCACCGATGCGCCCTCGTTTTGGAAGATGCTCATGGAGCAACGTTGTGCATCTACAGAAGTGCCCCCGGAGCGTTTCAACATGGACGCCCATTACCACCCAGACAGCAGCCGAAGGGAAACATCCTCCGTTCGAAAAGGACATTTCTTATCCGGGGATATTGGTGCTTGGGATGCACCTTTCTTCAACATTACAGCCTCTGAGGCTGATGCTATGGACCCTGGTCAACGCTTGACTCTCGAGACTGCTTTCCATGCGCTGGAAAGCGCTGGGATACCCATCCAGATCATAGCGGGGACTAAGACATCTGTCTAGTAAGTCTTATTTTCTACCCGTGACATGAAGAGTTGGTAACTTACAAGGTGCGGTTAATATAGCTCCGCCACATTCATGCGTGACTATGACTATCTTCACAATAATGATCCTGATGATCAACCCAAGTACTTGGGACTGGGCACCTCGCCAAATATGCTCTCAAATAGAGTAAGCTGGTTCTTCGATTTGAGAGGGCCAAGCGGCAGTGTCGATACGGCATGTTCCAGCAGTTTACTCGCTCTAGATCTCGTATGCCAGTCAATATGGAGTGGCGATGCGAACATGGGGCTTGCCTGTGGTAGCAATATCATGCTTACTCCCTTCACAACCGTGTCTCTTGATAATCTCGGCCTATTAGGCAAAGATGGTCGCTGTTTCAGCTTTGACCACCGGGCGAACGGCTATGCTCGAGGAGAAGGCGTGGCAGTGGTTGTCGTAAAGCCTCTCAAAGATGCTCTTCGGGATGGAGATACTATCAGAGCAGTGATCAGATCATCCAGCTCTAACCAGGACGGAAAGACCCCAACTATTACACAACCAAGTCGAGAGGCTCAGGAGAGATTGATTCTTGCGGCTCATGCCAAGGCGGGCCTTGACCTCAGGGAAACAAGGTACTTCGAGGCCCACGGTACCGGTAAGAAGGATTATTCGAAGCCCAGATATAAGTGAGCTTTCCACTGACAATTTTAGGTACCCCTGTGGGTGATCCGATTGAAACCAGATCTATCGGGGCTGCATATCGGAGGTTCCGAACCCCTGAAGATCCCCTTTACGTGTAAGTAAACACCTTGAGTCAAGCCCTGAAGTTTCTAGCTGACTGAAGACTCTCAAGCGGCTCTGTGAAATCAAATATTGGCCATTTAGAAGGTGCAGCTGGACTTGCCGGTGTCATGAAGGCAATACTAGCTCTTGAAGCTGGAATTATCCCCCCACAGACCAACTTTGAGAAACTCAACCCAGCCATCGATGCCGAGTTTCTAAATATCAGAGTTAGTTGAACAAGCTCTCACCTGTAAAATTTGTCATTCTAACAAAGGAAATCTTTAGATTCCCACCAAGGCTGTTCCATGGCCGACGAAAGGGCTTCGTCGTGCCTCTGTACAGTCATTTGGGTTGGGAGGCTCTAACAGCCATGTCATTCTCGATGACGCTCACAATTTTCTTCAACAACGAGGGCTTTGGGGCCACCATAACACAATTCCCGCTCCCCCTGCCCTTGAAAGTACTTCAATTGATCGCGTCCCTATATCGCCTCACGGCAATGGTATTGTCAATGGGGTCAACGGGGCAAAAGGTACGAGTGGAATCAAGACCGTGAACGGCAACGGTATTATCAATGGAGCTCTAAATGGGATTAATGTTACAAATGGTTACCATACTTCAAATGACACAAATGGAATAGAATCAGACAAGGACTCGGAGAAAAAGCTGCTCGTTTGGTCGGCCACTGACCAAGATGGTATCGCCCGTCTAAAGAGCGTCTGGAGGGACTATCTGGCCAACCTCCGACTCTGTCCTAAGGAAAAGTCACAATTTATCAGGAATCTGGCATACACACTGTCAAATCGACGAACACATTTCTCTCACAGAGCTTTTGCGGTGTTCGATATTTCCGACGGCCTCACTACGCTTATTGGCAAATTTTCTTCAGCTATCCGAGGAAGCGCAACACCCAAACTTGCCTACATATTCTCAGGTGTAAGAATACCCTGAAATCCCCTTAAAGACACATGACTGACATCATCATTTGGGTCTCTAGCAAGGTAGCCAATGGTTTGCGATGGGACGGGAGCTGTTTCACCGATATCACATATATCGAAAGTCTCTGCTTGACGCTTCGGTTTACTTGCAGGGACTTGATTGTCCATGGGACGCTGTGGGTGAGTTGAGCCTCTGTCCCTTTTTCCGGACTCTTAGAGACGAACCTAATGTTTCATTAGATGAACTTATGAGAGGCGAAAATGACACGAATGTGAATGATGCCGAATACAGTCAGCCGCTCTGTACAATCATACAAATAGCTCTAGTAGATCTGCTAAACAGCTTCGGCCTCCGCCCTGCGAAAGTTGTCGGACACTCGTCAGGTGAAATTGCAGCAGCGTAAGGTCAATTGCGCTCCTTCGAAAACAAATTGAACTAATATCATTTCGGACAGATACTGCGCAGGGGCTCTATCGAGGCATTCAGCATGGAAGATTGCCTATCTTCGCGGGCTGCTGGCAGCACGGCTTACTTCGACCTCGCCGGACAACACAAACAATGTCAAAGGCTCTATGATGGCACTTGGTTTACCCGCAGCTGAAGCCAACAAATATCTGGAACGAGTTGCTGATCAGTTGGGGTCCAAGCGGCTTGTCGTTGCTTGCATCAACAGCCCGTTGAATGTGACAATCTCAGGCGAGGAATCACACATCGATCATCTCAAAACGCTCCTTGATGCGGCCTCAAGTGGGATATTTGCAAGGAAGCTGAAGGTCAGCGTCGCCTACCATTCCTTTCAAATGCTGGAGGTGGCAGACGAGTACGTGGCTCGAATCGGACAGCTTCGCCCTCCGCCAGCCAGTTCAACATCAGCGCCTCTCATGGCTTCTTCCGTAACCGGGACATGGATTCTCCCAGATGAATTGCTGAAAGCAGAGTATTGGGCTAGAAATATGGTATCTCCAGTGCTTTTCTCAGACGCTCTCGCCACAATATGCGCTTCAACTACCACGGGAAAAGCCAGTTCAGCAACCACCAAACTAGACCGCAGCCATTTGAGAACAATACCGATCACAGAGATCGTGGAAGTTGGACCACATTCAGTATTACAGGGTCCTTCGAGAGAGATACTTCGCTCCATTGGTAAAGAAGGTAGTGTGCAGTATGCTTCCGCATTAATCAGGAACAAGTCTGCCACAACCACCATTCTAGAACTTGCCGGCCGTCTCCATTGCTTGGGATACCAACTAGATCTTGAACAAGTCAATAGCAGCACTTCAGAAGTCAAGGCATCAGTACCTCTCAAGGCGTTATCAACCTTACCTGCATACCCTTTCAATCACTCGAGGGTGTACTGGGCAGAGAGCAGAATAAGCAAGGCCTTCCGTTTCCGCAAATTCAAGAGACATGATTTATTGGGTGCTCAGTCATTCGATTGGAACTCCCTTGAGGCTAAATGGCGTCACACTATAAGGATATCGGATCTGCCATGGGTTGAACACCACAAAATCAATGGAACAGTTCTGTATCCGGCATCCGGCATGCTTGTCATGGCCGTCGAGGCAGCTCGCCAGATGGCTGATTCAACACGACCACTATCGGGGTTTGTGTTTCACGATACCTCCTTTCATTCAGCATTAGTCATTCCAAATGGCGCCGATGGTATCGAGGTCAACCTTCATATGCGGCCTCGCAAGAATAGTAGCGAGAAAGATGCAGGCTGCTTCGATTTCTCGCTGTATGAACGTGAAGAATCTAGTCAGAGTGGCTGGAAAGAGAACTGCAATGGCTCCATCCAATTAACTTACACAGATACAGAAAGCAGCACCAACGGCGAAAACGACCACCTAGGGGTAAAGAAGGAAGATGTTGCCTGGGAACAGTCCCGTCTGACCCGGATTCAGGAGATTCGGGGGAGCTGCACGGAGGCCGTCGAGCCAGATAAGCTGTATGAGAAGCTTCTGTCGAGTGGGTATAACTACGGCCCTTCATTTCAAGGCATCACAAGCATGAGCTATGATGGCAAGGATTCGTCCGTAGCCACGGTAAAAACATACCGATGGTCAGACTATTTTGAAGGACCGGATCCTGGTGCTGAGCATGTTGTGCACCCAACGACCCTCGACACGATCCTTCACACTATGCTTGCCAGTCTCACTCATGGAGGTACAGAAGAAATCTCAACAACCATCCCTACTTTTGTTGAACACATGTGGATCTCAGCCAGTCATGGACTCAGTTCCCCAGGGGCAGATGCGGTTAAGGTTGTTACGACTGGGCAGAAATACGGTCGCCGGGATGCTCGATCCTCGCTGACTGTGACGGCCTCTGATGGACAGACCGTCTTGATTGACGTTGATAACTTCCAAACAACTGTTGTTGCAAGTGATGGGGGCCAAAGCAACGAAATCGGACAAACTTTCAAGCCAGGCTATACACTGGATTGGAAGCCTGATTTGACCCTTCTTTCCCCAACAGAGCTCCAGGAATTTTCTGATGAGTCGAACCGTGATGTGGTCCAACCTTCGAAGGCCTCAAAGCAAGAACTCGTCACATATCTTACTGCTTCCATCCACCGGACACTCAAGCTGCTGGAAGGTCATCAGTCAGAGACAGATTCCAATTACATCAATTGGATGCGTCAACAAATCAAAAAGTTAAAAAATCCCGCTCTGACACAACTCGACGATGCAACATTCGAACAGATGGCGAGCAATATCAAGAGTCAAGGCCCACAAGGCAGAATTCTTGCAGCCATTGCAAGAGACCAAGCCTCCTTCCTCAAAGACGGCGTAAATTCCCCTTCACTAGTCGGCCTTGTTGAAGAATATATCGACAATGCTGTAAGTAAAAAGTCCATCATCTTGATGTGTATGCTTGAGAACAAAAATCTGACAAGTTTCAAGCTTCAAGCACCTTTCTATGACAAATTGTACACTCTTCTTGATTGCATGGCACATAAGAAATTAAATCTTCGTATTCTAGAATTAGGTACAGGCAGCCTATCTCTGACGCATCGAATTCTGACGACGCTCAACACCCGAGGCAATGGAACCGAATCAACTGCAATGCCACGTTTCGCATCCTATGAATACACCACCGAATCACACGAGACTACTAACGCTTCAAAGTCAAATTTCAAAGGACCAAGCGCCAAAGTCAGCTTTAAAGTACTGAATATTGATCAAGACCCGGAAAACCAAGGGTTCGAAGTGGGAAGCTATGACATTATCCTGGCTTCTGGCGTGAGTCATTCCAACAGTCCTCAACAATTCGTCCGCTAAAAATCTGTTAGGGATTTAAAAACATCCTAGATGCTCCCAATTCAGTTAAAAATGCTCGAAAGTTATTAAAGTCGTAAGTGTATATACAAATGGAAATTCTCAGGGGCACGCTTCTCACATATGTTCCAGTGGTGGAAAGCTCATTGCTATCGAGGCCCCGAGGCACGACGAAGCGCTTCTCGCAAATTTTGTATTCGGTCTAAGCAACGACTCGTGGTTGTGTAAGTCTCACTAATGGTATTGGCTTTCATTGGCCATTTGAATAACCATCAATATTGACTACCGTAGGTCCCGAGAAGTGCACATCCGTACTCGCTGATCGCGCTGAGGTACTCAGGTCATCGAAGTTTTCTGGTCTAGATGTCATCCTGCGCGATTCGCACGATCCAGCACTCCAGAACTTTTCTATCGTGACGGCTACTGCAGTGGAAGACAATGATGTCTTGAACAGTCACAGAATAGAAAAGCCGAATGACAGTCGTCTTATTATTATCCACCATGATGATGATACCAAACAAGAGAACATTGCGCGGCAGATCCAAGGCTTGATAAGCAACTCACACAACACCAGCTTTGCTGATATACAAGTGAAATCGTTGGCATCCGCAGTCGAACTGTCTCCTTTTGGCCAAGACACAATGATTGTCTTCCTTCTCGAGCTTGGAGCGCCTGTGTGGTACACGATGGACGAGGAACTCTACAACAAGCTCCAAAGGCTCCTTGTTTCGAACATCAATTCCAAGATGCTCTGGGTGGGTCAAAACGGTTCTGCAGGAGGCGGCGATGGACCTGAAGTGAATAAATCAGCTTATCGACTCATTGATGGCCTCTCGCGCGCACTCAACTCGGAGAACGACGGTGAGATATTGAGTCTGCTGAGTCTTCAACAAGAGGGAAGTCTTTCCGCCAGACAAATGAGCTATATCCTTGCGGTAATACGAAAAGTTCACTCTCAATCGGATGAGTTCCCGGACACTGAATGGGTTGAGAAGAATGGCCGGCTGTGCGTGCCAAGAATGGTACAGTCGCCGTCGCTCAAGGACAAAGTTTCCTCTCGACTGATCCCACAGCATGAGATCCAGCAGGCCTGGAAGGAAGGCAAGGGGTCTGATGATAGGGTGCCGCTGAAACTGGCATTCGGAACTCCTGGTTTGCTCAACACTCTCCATTTTGTGGAGGACAAAGAGTACTCAACCACACAACTTGGGGAGGGCGAGTTGGAAATTGAGGTCAAAGCCGTTGGGGTCAACTACAGAGACGTTCTATCCGCTCTCGGGAGATTGAAGAATGCTCAGGTTGGCTGCGAGTGTGCCGGAATCGTAACACAAGTTGGTTCCGGGGTAGTTGGCTACCAAGTTGGAGATCGCATTGCTGCCATCTCTCCCATTGATTGTTACCGGACATATCTTCGTGTTGACCATCGCTTCACTGCCCGCATACCCGATTCAATGCCATTAACCATAGCAGCGGCCATGATTATCAACCACCTGACCGCTTGGTGGACTCTCCATGAACTTGCGCATCTTGCTCCTAATGAGACTGTACTTGTCCATAGCGGCGCGGGCGGCACAGGTCAGGCTGCAGTGCAGGTGGCACAACACATTGGGGCTCAGGTTCTAGCAACCGTGGGTACTCAAGAAAAGAAAGCACTCTTAAAGGAACAATACGGGATAGATTCCGACCACATCTTTAGCAGCAGGGTGGCCTCCGCCTTTTCTCGCGGGGTTCAGCGGACGACAAACGACCAGGGCGTCGACGTGATACTCAGCGCTCTAAGCGGGGAAGGGTTCCTTTCATCGTGGGAATGCCTGGCACCGTTTGGCCGGTTCATGGAAATAGGCAAACGTAACATCCATGAGCGCAAGAGTCTACCCATGGCGCGCTTTGACACTGGAGTCTCCTTCCACGCCTTTGACATCGGGGTTGTTTGCAGGTCGAGACCCAGCACCGTTCGGCCAATGCTGGAGCAGCTTTTCGACTTACATGAGAAAGGGGTGTTGCGGCCAGCTTTCCCGTTGCAAGTCTATGGCGTGTCAGACCTAGAAAAGGTCCTCCGAGTGATGCAGCGAGGCGACAATATGGGTAAAATTGTGATTGAGATGCGGCCCGAAGACAAAGTGAAGGCCGTGTTAGATAGGAAGCCCACAACCTCACTTAGGACGGATGCAACCTATATGGTAGCTGGCGGTCTGGGAGGGCTCGGAAGGAGTATGACCGCATGGCTTGTCGACCGCGGTGCCCGTCACCTTATTCTGCTGGCCAGATCAGGGCCACGGACGCAAGAGGCTCGCGATTTCGTCGAAGGTCTGACTCTTAGGGGTGTCCAAGTCACCACTCCGCCGTGCGATATTAGCGACGCCGATGCCCTCCGATCAGTTCTGGACGACTGCTCATCTACTATGCCACCTATCCGTGGCGCCATTCAGGCGACGGGACTTCTCCGCGATGCTATCTTTGAGAGAATGTCGTATGAAACATGGCAGGCCGCCGCCGCGCCAAAGACATTGGGATCCTGGAACATGCACTCTCTCCTTCCAACCAACCTGGACTTCTTCATCGGTATATCATCAGTAGCTGGTGTAGCAGGTGGTCGGGGTCAAGCAAACTACGCCGCTGCAAATACCTACATCGATGCACTCATGAAGTACCGTGTCGATCAAGGGCTACACGGGGTAGCCCTTGACCTGGGGGTATTCCTCGACATTGGCTTTGCGACTGAGAATGCCGATCTTTGGGCACGCTGGGAGGCGCAACGGGCACTGACAGTAACTGAGGCCGATCTGTTCGCCCTTCTGGACTGCTGCTGCTCCGAGAAGATACCTACTCAAGTGGTATACGGAATTAATAGCTTTGTTCAAGATCCATCCATTAGGCACCAATTCTTCCGCAAAGCAATGCTTCGAACACTTGCGCTGGAGGACGAAGAGGAAAGCGGCAATTCAGGGGGATCAGCCAAACAGGTTGCCCAGGACGTAGACTTTGGTTCCGTTTTTGCACAGGCGATCACTTTGGATGATGCAGCGGGTGCCGTCAATGAAGCACTTTTGCGGAAGCTATCTACGATGCTCGCACTGCCTCGAGAGCAGCTAGACCCAGATACGCCACTACATACATATGGTGTGGACTCTCTTGTCGCCGTCGAATTGAGAAACTGGTTCGCGAAGGAGGTCCATGCTGATCTGGCTATTTTCGACATCCTAGGCGGAGCTACAACTCGCTCAGCAAGCACATTGGCTGCGGTGAAGTCGAGACTCAAGAAGGGAAGTTGGGAGGAGACCAAGGTTTAGCATGTCACATGCCAAGGAAGTTGGGCATCAATCATCACATAATACGACGTCTGGCAAAAGCAAACATGATCTGTCAAATTTACGTGAAGAAAGGGTGGTCAGAGCGGTCAATCCTGTGAGTAGGTTGCACGGAGCCATGTATTGTATATATTGATAAACCCCCCCAAATCGGTCATTTGAGAAGAACGAACTATTAACAGAATGCTCCTGATCGAGAACCTTTCTAAAATGTGATGGAATTCCATCCGGCTCTTGTTCGCCATGGCAATTCATTGCATTATCTCGAACATTATTCGGTCATCCGGGGGTAGGCCTCCCACTACGCATACCACGCATGTCAGCTCAATGCTTATTCCAAGGCGCTAATGCAGTATTTATTGGGAGGCTTGGAAGCCGTCTCTCAGCTGTTCCTACTCGCCCAATAAGACAAAGGGCACGGTCGTACTTTAAATTCAAGCGTAATTCAGCTGTGCTGCTAGCCGTCTGTCCCCCCCCCCTGAAGGGATTAGCCCACCGCCATCCAAGACCTGATGTCTTACTTGGGCGTCTTACTTTGGGCGTCATGATGGCACATCCGTGCATAACGGTCCATTCTATCGGGTGACATGGCGTAGCATGCTGCATTAGACAAAATTGTGCTTTGGTGGGTGACTGCCCATTGAATTCCCCCCTCTCTGCTCTCTCTCCTGACCCTCACCACCACACGTCCCATCGAGATCGTCGTTACGACCCGCGAAATTGGGCGTGTGAAAAGACTGCTCAAGATGCGCCTTTCTGCTTTTCCAAGGATGGGAATACCAGCTCGACTTCTTGCTCTTTTATTCCTTGTTATCCATGCCAGCGCTGAGGTGTCCGATCCAACCATCACAGAGGCTCCCAGCACATTTGAATTGGTTGCTCGACAGAACCAGCAGTCATCCAATTTCATCGGCTACACTGTAGACTCCACGGGAGACTGTGAGTTAATGACTGGCCTCCATCAAAGAGGCGGAGATATGGGGACTAATAGCCCTGAATAGACGATAGAGTGTTATGCGGATCCGGTTCGACGTTTGCGATATCGTCGGCTTGGGCAGGATGTGCGCGCACGTCGGCCCCGGGCTTACCTACAAGTTGTCGAAGCAGCTCGACACTCGTCTACCCTACCGGTTCAGCCTTGTGGTATGTGTATCATCTTGCTCGTAACATACTATGCCTACAGGCATCTACTAAGCTCTATTGCCGACAGTCCCTCGAACTTGCCCGTGTGCGGCTTCCATTTCATACACACCGACCTCGACGACCAGACTCCATTTACACGAGTCGGCTGTGCGAAGGTTCCGAATCCCATTCGCTACTATCGAACAACTACAGGCTCTCGCTCCTCAACTCGGATCACAACAACGAGATCATCTACGTCGAGAACTACGTCGAGAACCACATCGAGAACCACGTCGAGAACCACGTCGAGAACCTCGTCAACGAGCGGAATAGAATCCACGACCCTTGAGACGTCCACGATCGCAACCACATCATCCGAAAACCCCACCAGTAGCGAAACAGATACTGTTGCGGACGATGTAAACGAGCCACTACCTCAGCAACCCGCCAGTCTTGCATGGATCGCCGGTCCCATCGTCGGCGGGATTGCCGGCCTCGTCATCATCGGCCTGCTGATCTGGATCATCAAGCTGTTACGGAGGAGGAGCGCCGCCCGACAGGATGCTGCCATCACGCCCGCCGGGCCGCAACAATCGCCGCAGGTGGAAAAGTTTGTCGCTGCGTCACCGAATCCCACCGTGTCCCAGCCATCGCCGGCCCCGCCATATACCTCGCCCAGATTCTCGCAGTGGACCAACTCTGCCGAGTTACCTGCTACCCGGCTTTCATCGCCGCCGACGGAACTAGCTGGGAGTGTACAATGGGGTAACGAGTTGCCAGGGGACGCGGTCAGGAGAGGGTAGGAATGGGCACTGGCTCCCGACAGTCTCCATTGGACCGCGTATAAGTCGAACTAATGATTTAATATTGAAGGAACTTGTAATGAAATATATCATGGCAGTCTGTTAAAACTAGAAAATTTCCAGCGACTCTCTCTAATTGAAAACGAGTAGGGCATCTGCTGTCCAAGCATAACATTCGTGAGCGGGCATAAGAAAGAATAACGAAAGTTCATGAAGAGGATAAACAAAACAACGCGAAACAGAGGCATCAAGTATAAAGCTAACAAAAAGAAAGAAACCTCCGAGAAAACAGCCCAAAGGCCGACGCCGGGACCGCTTTGCTTCAGGGCCTTCGCTTCTTAAGACTGGACGAGATGGTGTCCCTCATGAATCTCGGCAACGGCAGTTGTTGGTTCTGGGGTGGCAGGATTTCTTCAAACACTGGCTGGACGTTTATCGGCTCTTGCATGGCCGGGAGTGGACGCCATGCAGGGTTATAAAGCCTCAGCTGCTGTTTGCTCCTGTGAGTATACGTCCGAGGATCCTTCTCGTCCCATCGAAAATCCACCCTCGCGATGTAGTACTCTATGCGAGACTCGGCGGTCCCGTATCTAGCCCATCTACTATCACTTCTAATGCCTTTGCCACACCATATGGAGTGGGCAACTGACTGCGGGGACAAAGTGACCCCGTCCTCCCTCTTAAACAGCCACTTGTCCATCATCTGCGAAGCTAGCTCATCCACCTGCTCTTTCATGCGACGAACAGTTTCGAGCTCGATAGTGAGTTGACGCACGCTCGTTGGTAGTACCTTGGAGACTCCTCGCGTCCAGTTCCCCTCGAGTTTCAGCGGACCATTCTCCCAGTTGAACCAATCCGTGTGGCGGATCGTGATGGTGATGATGTGAGGGCGAATCCCAACGTTCAGAATCCTGTTCATAACACCCTCCTTCTCCAACGAATACACTCGAGGGAATACCCGAAGATTTCTGAACTCCTGTCTCAACCACAGCATCGGGAACGAAGACCGAAGCTTCTTCAACGCAGTAGCCAAATTGTATGCCGGGGGGCAACACCACTCTTGGTGGGAAGCCCAGTGGATCTGCTCGCGAAGAAAGAAGGGGAACTGCCAGTACTCTTGGTAGACGGCGCGGCACGTCTGCAACACAGCCGTGTAGGTTACGAGAGGCGCCGAGTAGCCTGGGCGGACATAGGCTTCGGAGCGATCATATTCCCGCTCGGGAGACTGGTCGGGATACGATTGCAGTATCAGAGTGAATATCTCGGTTCTGATCTCGGCGGGGATTTTTGTGAGCAGGGCCGACCGAGTCTGTCTGACGGCAGGCGTTTGCAAGATCCGTTCGTGGAGCACGACTGAAGCCATTCGTGTTTCTTTCATTGTGCAGATGGTTGTTGAGAAAAGCAGAAATAGGTAAATTCAAATGTATTAGAAGACATTCATGTGCAGAATCATCAGGAGCACACCATCCAAGGTTAAACAACGGGCCGTTTAAAAGGCAGCAGTAGGCAGCAGTGAGCACATCGGACTCTTAACGTGTGTCAGCCACATAAGTCCGAGGTAACCACCCAAAGCGGTGCTGACAGGGCTTTTACTGAAAGTGGAATTACTACTGTAAACTGAACACAGTGCAGAGATGAGGCCTGCAGTGATGGGAAGTCTAAGTGAACTAAATCACGCCTTTGTAATTCCTGCCCTCGCAACTGTCAAGTTGGATCGAGGAACTGATATGTAGGCTGTTGATGGTGAGGATTGTTCGATTTCGTCAATGCGCAACTGTGGATTAAGTCATGGATTATTGGCAGTAAACTGTCAACAGTCGAATTCGCATGACGCTTCGAATCAAACACCAATTGATATACGCAACATTTATGAGGGTCGAGTCTACGTTAAGTGTCGAAACCCGCTCCAAAGACGTTTAGCATCAACCAATAGATTCACACGGCTTGAGCCATGATACGAAAGCTCTCAATTGGAATTTCTCACAGTGTTCTGGCAATGACAGTTCCAGGATGAAACAACATGTGAAATCAGCGTGCTCTATTCCCCATCTTCCTCCGCCGCGTGTTTCTCTTTTCTCCACCTCGGGCCGCACTTCTGAATAACAAACAGCAGAGGAGAGAGCAGTGCTGGCAGGGCGCCGAAAATCGTAAAAGCCCATCCATACCCAATCTTGAGGAACAGAGGCTCGATAAATGCGGTTCCCGCTGCTCCCAGAAGACACCTTGCCATGTTGTTGGCCGCCGAGGCCGTGGCAGGGGACTTGGGGTGTAAGTCAACAATCAGGGTGTTCATCACGCTGAATGAGCCCGGGAAGCAAAGCCCGACGATGAACTGTAGAACCAAGGGCACGGCCACGCTGGCCTTGGCCTGGAGAACCCATCCGTACGCGACGAGCGTTCCGACCCCGAGGACTATCACGGGGGTGACTGTCTCAAGCCGGGCTTTCTCGAGTGGGAAGTTCAGGAGATTGTCGCCCCGTCTTCTGTCGATTTTGAACCCAACCTTCTTCGCGACGCGGCGGTAGTTCCAGTCCAGAATATATCCCTGGCCAACGCTGGAGATGCAGCAGCCGGCACCGTATGGCAGATAGCAGAGACCGACCTCAAGATCCGAGAAGCCGTACGTCTTCTGGAAAAGAGTTCCTAGGGTTGCTGCCACAATAACGAAATCGAGGTATAGGATCGAGCTGTACAGTAGGATAAGTGACATCTCCTTGTTGAATATAATCTTCAGGGTGTAAATTGGATTTGGGAAACGTAGTTTGGGCCGCTCGATGGTCTGCCCGGGCGCCTCTTTTCGCCTTTTAATAATTTCAAAAAGAGTTCTGTTCCATCTTTGCGGCGGTATACTTCCATTCCCAACCACGGCTCGGCATGTCTCAGGAACGACCAACAAAAAGGGAACGAGCCATACAACGGCCAGTATGGCGCTAAACCAGAATATGGAAGGCCACCCTAAGTAGGCTGAGAAGATTCCGCCGAGGACAGGGGCTACATGCTATCGTGAGCTCAGCCGCCTTTCCAACTTCGTGAGAGAAGATCAACCGACTTACCTAGCGTGGGCCCAACATTGATGCCGCAGTATATTATGCCCATGTATTTCCCCCTCTCGGAACTCGTTACCAAATCCGCTACCACTGCAAAGCCTAGTGCAATCGTACCACTGTTACCACAAGCCTGGATCATTCGCAGCACCAGCAGAGCCGGGTAGCTTCTCTGCAGAGCCAGGCCAATGTTGGCGAAAAGGTAGATCGTGAAGGAGAGAAACAGAGCCGGTCGCCGACCCGCAGTATCGCCCAAATCACCGTACATGGAAGGGATGATGGCCTGGAAAATCATGTACGACGTGACTGTCAAGTTAATTAAGGATATGCTCACGCCGAGGTCTCTGGACAACGGCACCAGCGCGGGATAGTATATGGTGGCGGTCATGGGAGAGACAAAACTGGCAACTGCGGCCATGAAAATGATCCATCTCCTGCTTCCCCTGGAGAAGACGGAATACTCCGGTCCAGGTGTCTCCGTCCTCGTGAGATTTAGCTCTCCATTGGTAGCCGATGCTGATGGCTGGATGGGTTCCAGAGCGATATCCTTCGCGCTTTCCACTTGCACTTGCTGTTCAATATCGGCCCTTGTTACAGGTGGCTCTGGCTCTGTCAGTTTCCCATCTTGGGGAGTGGTCGCGTGACTCATGACGTCTAACACGGAACATGAGCCGCGTTGTTTGAGTGGGAAACTTGTGCACTGAGCGTCTCAAGAGCCGGGCAGGGCCGTCTCTCGAGCTCGGATTGATACAGACGTCTCGCAATAGCGTTTTCCTCATAAGCACCACTCAATTGAAGTGTGGAGGAACTGGAAATCAGTCGGTGAGGAAAAAAAGAGGGCAACGGACTTGAGCCACTCTTATTGCCGGTCGCTTCAGTCTTCGCCGAATACTACCCCAACGCAAGATAGCCCGCTCCCGGTACCGGAGGATTTTCAAGGCATCGCTCTGAAGCCGTAATGCCGATCGATCTCTGGTAAATTGATGGCGCAATTGAAGGCCGTGGTTTGGCCACAAACGGAATGGGACCACCGCGACAGTCCGTCCATAGCCGCGGAATGCCGATTTATCCACGATGGCTTAACATAGGTAAAGCTAAGTTGTAAGTTCTCAGTTTACAACCCATTTGCTTGGAAAATTGTGAAACCCAACAGATAAGTATCATCAGATTTTTTTCACTCTATCAAACACACAAATCTAACGCATGGGCGATGAACATCTCTTTTACGGTTGATAACTGGGTTTGGGCTCGGAACGTTCCGAGGGTCATGTGGCTTGCCGGTTAGTGGGCAGTTTTATAAGCTCTGTTTGTTGCAAATTGAGTTGCTGTGAAAGATTTCCTGCCAAAACCTCAAACATGATCGTCTCGATCAATCACGAGACGTTCGAAACGTGAGCGAGATCGAAACAGGACAAGCCATTGACAAGCACATTGCTGAATCGAAAAAAGAAAAAGAAAGAAAGAGAAAGAAAGACACAGAATCGATGTATATGTATGCATTCATTCATTCAGTCCATCAGAAAGAATCTTGCCTAATAATGTAGCGTAGGGTGAATACTCAAGGTGTATTTCTGTCATCTCATCACAATATGAATTCCCCTCACAATCATACAATATGACGCACTTGTCTGAAGGAACTGGCTGGCTCCGGCTTCTTGTTTCAGGAATCCGTTGAATGGAGTTAATCTGCTAAGGGGCTATGTAAGGAAATACAATGAACGGCAGCAGCAATCTAATAGACTCTGCCATTCACGTCTACCTCCCTATTTCCAAGAGGAAGGACCGACTCGATTAGCCTAGCACCAAACTGAAGGATTTAAGCCTCAATCATGCGAGATGAGTTCATCCCGTGCACGCGAAATTGCTATCAGAGGAAGAACGGTAAGAAATTGTTGGCAAATTTGCCATACTCATACACGTGTTCCTTACCGTAGCTCGTAAGGTATTATCAGAGATCGCCATAGCCACCCCTATAGACCTGGCTCCTGTGTAGATTGAACGTTAGCTAAACCTCAACCCATCATATAGGCAAGCCTCTTTCATGCCTATGCAAGATGACTTCTTCCACTGTGTTTTAAAAGCTTCAAAGCATTTCTATTGATACTACCTCCAAGAACCCTTCCTCTGTGTTATTCTTGAGTACTAGGTTACTTGTTCTTATCAGTAGCTACAGCTGATTATAGCGATCTGGCCTTAGGTACTAAGAACTTCTACTAATCTAACTTATTATCTCTCTTTAACTCTAAGGTAGTCTTTATACTAATATTCTATAGATATATAACTAAGAATATCTTAGCTAAAATTTAGAACTCCTAGAAGATATTCTACTAAAAGATTCTTTAGTTTTTTAATTTACTAGGGTAGTTTAAGATTTTTAAAGAATATAGTTTTCTTAGGCTTATTATATAACTGATTAAGTAGAATAATTAGAATTACTTAAGCTTAATTAGTATACTTAGAGCTACTAGTATTAATTCTTAGTATTTAAATATCTAATTAAGTAATCTTACCCTCTTTAAGAGAAGGAACTAAAATATCTTTCTTTAGTATAATTTTAAAGACTATAGATATATTAGTATAAGTACTCTAGCTAATAAGCTTATAGTACTTACTAGATTAGTTAGTAATTAAAAAGCTTTAAGCTTATACTTAGATTAGTTAATATAGTTAGATCGGTATAAGATAAGAAGCTAGGTAAAAGAGATAGTATTAATAGTTATTCGATAAGCTACTATCCTAATAGTAAGTAAGTTATTTATACAATAGTTAGAGTTTTCTAGCTGTATAACTCCTTAGGTATACAAGGAAAGACTATATTTTTAAGCTTTTCGTATTTACTGTATTAAGCTGGTCAGACCCTAGCAGCTTTATTATTATTAAAGTTTATCATTCGTATTCTCCTACGCAAGATAACTTAAGTATATAGCGAATAAGTGGCTATATCATATAAAGATACATGATTGGCCTTCGCAAACAACACTGCTTATAGACTGGCCATCCTCAGATGCAGCCAAGAAGAGGGGAACGGCTGTCTTGGAGGTGCGTCGTCGCACATCAATGGCTGCGCGGATGCATTACTCTGCACATGCACAACAACGCCTTTTCGGCCTAGCAGGTCGAGCCGTCCGCTAGCCCAGGCGGACTATTGCATTGGAGGACACCCTCAGTGGTTGTTTCACTGCATGTCTCGGATGAGGGACCGTCAATCAAGGAGCATCTATTCGACGGTCGAGAGCAACTCGGTCAGAAACGCTACACAAACCAGGAGAAATCTCCCATCAAACGACATCCTCTGTCCAACGATACATCCCATTCCTCGGCCTCCCTTCGTGTACCGGGAACCTGGCCACCGGAACCCATTCCAGAGAACCAACCTCCCTCTCTCCAGACCCCCTGGCCCGGTCCGCCCCATAGAACTTATGCATGGGGACGAATTGCGCCGTAGCTGCAGACCCGGAACGAGCCAGTAGCATCCGCAGGCGCCCCTCCCATCGACCCAGGCGCGGCCCATGTCCACGGCGGTGGGTATTATCTCCCATGCCATGTAGGGAGGCGTAGGGAAGACCCTCTCCCCCCGTCCGGCCCTTCAGGTGAGACGCTCTCAATTGAGTTGTTTACCTTTAGATTAGGCGTTTCCCTTTAGATTAGGCTTGCCGTCTATTCTCTACTCTATCTCGTGTCGAGATCATCTTATATACAGCAATGGCCAGCTTCACCAATGCAAACGCTCCCAAGCGGGTGGCAATCATCGGGGCAGGAGTGACAGGACTGCTGATTGCCCAGGGACTACTAAAGGTACGGCTCTACGGCTCGTCTGCTCTGTTCCCTTCATGCGCTAGAGAAGCACGAGAGAAAAGCAAACGGATAGGCAGGAGAAAGTCAGACCTGTTGGCGCTAATCTTTCCCCTTCCGCTAGAATGGCTTCCAAGTGACGGTGTACGAGCGAGACCCAAGCCTCGAGTTCCGCGGTAATTGACTGAACCACCCCCCTCCCCCTTCCTTTCTTACTCGCTCACTCCCGACGTTGCACCCGCCCCCAAAACAATGCCGGTCGCTGACCCCCAGTGGCAGACAACCGCCCGGTGAGCTTCATGATCCACTGGGGGTTTGAGACGCTCTCGGAGCTGCTCCCCGCCGATCTGTGGGCGGACATCCACACGACCTTCTGCAATCCTGCCTCGCGCGACGCAAAGGAGGTCGAGGGCATCAAGTTCTACAATGGCCACTCGGGGGACCTGCTCTTCCAAGCCCCGCCGATGGTCATCAAGCGGGTGACGAGGCAGAAGCTGCGCAAGCACGCGGCCAAGGGCGTCGACATCCGATGGAGCGTGACGTTCGACGACCTCAAGGTCCAGGATGACGGGGTCAAAATCACCTTCAAAGACGGATCCGAGACCACGGCCGATTTTGTTATCGGCGCGGACGGGCCAAGGTCCAAGGTGAGGCAACTGCTGCTGGGCGAGGAAAAGTCCCAGCTCACCAAGTCGGACTTTGTGTGTGGGTACACGAGCGCCGTGCTCGGGCAGGAGAAGGCGGAGGCCATCCTCAAGGCGCACCCTGTTTGGGCCATGGTTTACCACTCCATGGGCGTGCTCGCCATAGGAGGTATGAAGATCCAAGGCCGGGTTGGAATGTCAATCAACTAACATCGTGGAATGTAGCCGAGGACGCCGTCAATCCTGATGACATCTCGACATGGATCTTCAACATCACGCGCATCTGGCGTGGAGAGTCACCGCGCCAGGAAGGCCCTGATGCTATCAAGACCATGAAGGATATAACTGAAACGTTCAGTGAACCCTTCAAGTCCATCGTCCAGGGTTTGCCCGTGGACACACCTGCATTTGTTCGCTCGCTTTACTACTGGCGGCCGGTCCAGTGGCCCAACTTTGATGGCAAGATCACGATCGCTGGGGATGCGGCGCACCCGATGCTTCCATGTAAGTTCAGTACCTCATCATCAATATATTCGCCATCCAGCCTCGTGGTGGCCCGGGTCCTGTCAACAACAGATCCCCTGTTCCCTCCATCTGTCATTGCAATGCTAACCATCTGACTCCTTCCTAGTCCGCGGCCAAGGGTTGAATAACGCTCTTGACGATGCTGTCAAGATTGTGCGAGCTCTCGTGGAAGTGTCAACTGGCAAAGCAGAGTTGAAGGAAGCAATTGATAAATATGACGCGGACGTGGTCGAGCGTGGCGCAAGAGCTGTCGATATTGCCGTCAATGAAGGAAAGCTGGTCCAGGACATGGACAGATTGACAGAGATGGTGGTCGCGAAGAAAGGAGTCGGCAAGCCCTGAGTTTAAGTGACTGTTGAGACTTAAAGAACCATATATATGTAGTGAATTCATACCCATCCACGTAGAAAGTCAATTAACGCTGTGGAAACCCCATTCGCCGTTGCAAAATTCAAGCAGCAGTAAATAAGACAAAGAGAAAGGTACAAAAGTACATGCTGGGAAATGCGTCATGTCATCGTTTCGTTAAGCTCATCCTGTCGTAGGCTTCTGGCCGTAGACAACGTGAAATGTGTAGTAGGAATGTATCGATGTGTTGGCCAACGACCTCCGCACACCTATCAAGTACTTCTCGATCTCTTCAGGTGTCCATTTCAGACCACGCGAGTACGGGCCCATGGCAACGCCTTGCAGGGCATCTGCGATCACTGAACGGTTGTACATGCCAATGGTCTTCCACTTTTGGTCCCTGGCCCACGCGCCGATGGGTACCTTGAAGATCTTCTCCTCTACATTGACGAATCCAGCGTCGATGAGAAGTTGTTGGTTCCTCTCCATGCCGAGAAGATCAACGCCGAAGCAGCTGAAGCCCTTGGCGAGGTTACTCATAAAGTCGGCCACCAAGTAGTCGTCGGGCATCGTTCCGTCGTCACACGAAGGTTTCAACTTGAGGTCCTGTAGCTCGATCCAAGCGCCAGGCCGCAATGTCCTGTCGTCATGTTAGTAGATGCGCTGAGAATTTATTGCCGGTCAACCCGGTCAACCCGGCGCGGTCCATACCGGTATGCCTGCTGAAGCAGCTCAGGCCAGTTCTTGATGGCTGGGGCCATATGTCGGGCGTGAATGAAGTCAACCGACTCTGGTTTATCGATCCATTCCGATTCGACGTCGTCGACGTAGAACTTGACGTTGGGCGGCACGAACGACGGTTGGATGGGGCTGAGGTCGACGCCGATGATCTCTGCGCTTGGGTATTCGTCCCCCACTGGAAGTCATTAGCATGGGACCAAACTGAAAACGATTCCGAAGCGCTGGTATTATTTACTGTCGATTGCCCATATCCCAGTCCCGGTTCCGAGGTCGAGGATCTTCTGAGGGTGGTCGAGGGGCGCAAAGTGCAGGTTGTTATTGGCGACATGCAAGCACATGGTGTGCTTCATGTCCTCGCGCTCCTGCTCGATGTCATCGTTGGGGATGAGGTACCGGCCCTCCTTGAACTTGTGATATCGGCGGTTGTTCTCGAAGACGTAATCGCGCACGCTCGAGGCCAGCGACGTGGAGGCGGCAGAGTCTGCGTCTGACTCGTACCCTTCGACGGAATCCGAGGCGTCGAGATCGGCCTCGATGGATTCTGGAGAGTCGGCGTGGTCGGCGCTCGGCGGTGACGGTTCACCACTACTAACGGATTTCGGGGGTGGAGGCATGAGGCTTCGCGGAAACGGTCGAGGCGAGGATTTGTTTAATTGGCATCAATCAGGAGGGGGAGGGGAGGAAGGAAGAAAGGCTAGCCAGGCGCAGGAGTTGGCATAACCGACGCTAGACAAAGCAGAATGACGAGAACGAACTGCCTTGTAGAGAGCGACAAGATTGTCTCGGGTTGGACTGGACAAGAAAAGAAAGCAAATTCGGAAAAGTACAGGGCTAAGTTAGACAGAGGAGGGACAGTAGGGGCGGATTCAATCCAAGCCCGAGACAAGACCAGCAGCAAGAAGCAGCGCGATCAGAACGGATGGCCTGGAGGAAGGTGGAGCCCGCGCCAGGCCATCGTTTGCCCATGTGCGCACCTTCCTCGCCTCTGGCAGGAGAAGGCGCAATTGGTGGTGCAGCTCGCAGCAGACCCCGGCTGACTCAGCTCCCGCGCGGCCGCTGTAGTCTAGCGGTTCAGCCCTCTGTGCTAGCGCTGCACCGTTCGTCCAGCGACTCCAACCGTTGCCTCAGGGGTCGATCAGGGAACGGCAGTATGTGGTGTGGCGGGTCAGGTGAGGATGTGGAAGGTCCAGTGGCCTGTCGGCCGCTGCTCCTGGCCCTGTAGCTGATGTGTCCAAGAGCCCTGTTCGTCCCAGAGCCATGGGGGAGGCCTCTGCCGACGGTGTACCTGTGAAGAGGCTCCTGAGTCCTCCGTTGACCTGGAGCGGGGCGACATTTGATCGTGGTTCGATTCCCCCTTCCCCTCACAAACCCAGCGGCGGCCATTGGGTGAACGCCGTGGTGAGAATCCGTAATTAACTCAATATTGGATTCTGGATGGGGCAATGCAGCACAAACCAGCTCAAGATCCTCGGCTAATCCCGCTTTGTCTTGGACTTGCCTTGGCTGCTCCTCTCTGCCACGTTACGCCTAGGTTAAACCCTAGCAGGCCCAGAAGTTAGCCAAGGCACAAGCCTGCAAGTGTGCTGCACTCTTTAACTGAAGCAGGAATCCATGGCATCGGGACTGTAGCGAGGTTGCATCTGCACAGGGTATAACCAATGAGATGCCTGAAATTGGTGGAATTACGGAGTACTCGGTCTTTTAACCTATTGCCGGGATCCTCTTCCACATGTTGCTTGCGCAAAACGGTCCGTTGTTCCACATCATCTGGAGGTTTCTATTTACCTGCTCATTTACCTACTCTAGGGTAGTCTAGGCTTGAGCTACACAGGACGGGAGATTGGGGATCGCACGCTTCACCAATGCCTTGATACCATTTACATGTATCAATAATGTGCAGTCGTTATATTTCCAGTGCGCGTGAATGGGCCGGCGTGTCGCTCGCCCCTTGGGACTGCCAAGTCAATGTCACTTCTCTCTGATGGTCAGGAATATCGACCCAAATATTCGCCAGCTGGTTTCCCGTCCCGCCTTCATCGGAAAGCTCAAGCGACACAAGCTCGCGACAGCACCTGGCTGCCAAAGCCGAGTCCCAGAACCCTTCGCGGCGCTTCCACGCATCCAGCAGAGTCACTGCCTCTGTTCTAATTGATCCCACCCGACACTTTAATGCCGTCAGGGTCAGAGGGAAGATGATGCCCCAGTCCGTGGATAAGCTACCTACCCTAGAGCCCGAGTCGTCGACATTGGTTTGGCTCGAAACAAATTCTTTGGCTAAGACAAGAATATGCTGGAAAGCGCAGATATGCTCGTTAAATGCATCTTCAATGTCGCGGGCCATACAAACTCCAATGAGTACCCGCGTGAGGAGGGCATGCATCCGTAATAGTCGAAGAGCTTGTTGTTCCTGATCATGCACCATCACAGAACAAATCTGGAGAAGATAGTTATGGGCACGCAGCAACTTTTCCTGCTCCGTAATGAGAACCTGTTCGCTCAGGTGATCTAATCGATTCTTGAGCACGTTCTCCTCACAAGTCCTCAGAACTCGAAAGGTGTGGTAGAGCAGCGTGTCATATTGCTCCTTTGCATCTTCAAGTGTCACGAAAGGTTGACTCAATGCATCATCGAGGACGGCGAGCTCACCAACTGGAAGTTTGGAGTACGGCGCCTCAGCGTCGAAATGCGCAGCCTGTAGGTCAAGCCGGCAGAATCCCGTTCTCATCATCCGACTCACATCATGGGACAGCACGTTCCCGGATTCTTCTAGTATCTTCAGCCCGCTCTTGATGTGCCCCCCGGCAGCCTCATACAGGCCACGCATCAGATCAATGTGGATGAAGATCAAACAAGTCGCCAACACGGAAGTTGCCGTCCGCCCCCCCATCAACAACCTGATGGCGGCATTATATTGCCCCACCGCAAACTTGTGCTTCTCGTTGTGGGCTAGCCGGTCCTTGGAAATAGGCATGCCAAGGCTCTCCTCGGCCTCATGGAGGACCCCGAGGGCGATGGCGGCATGCAGGACGGCCGGCTCTGACCTGCTCAGCTGGAGGACAAGCGACGTCCAGAAGCCAAAGTCAAATGACGGGCACATTTCCTTGGCGGTCCGGTGCTGGAAGAACTCGAACCCGCGGAGCTCCTGGGCTTTGGCGTCGGTGAATATGGGCAGGGCTTGTTGTGGGCTCAGTCTTGGCTTGGTGTCGCCAAGCCCGTCGCGAAAGACTCCAATCCACTCACAGGTGCGGCCCGTCGATGTGCATCGCGCACAAGATGGGGATGTCTCGTCGCACTTCACTCGCCGTATCCTGATTTGTTAGCTTCCAGTCTCATTCACACTGCAGTGAGCTTGGACATCTTACCGACAGGTGCGACACCCCTTCTTCGAGCGTCGCGTTTTTGGTTTGCTTGAAGGCTCCATTGGCGTAGTTGCATAAGTAGAGACTGTTGGATTGTTGATGCAGGAAGTGGGTGCTTTTTAGGTCTTGATCTACAATGTTAGCAGTGTCGAAGGAATAGGTGAGCGTACGTAGCATTGGGGCTTGGAGGCGAGGCTGACACGCAGACTTAGCTAAACACAGAATCACCCTGTCCCCAAGTTTATGCCCTTGGAGATGCAACATAGACATACAAGAGCTAGATCTTGGGGCATCGCTTCTACAGCCGCACATTGGCTGAGCTATTTGTAGTCTCACAGTTCCCTGGTAAGTATCTACGTATTTCTACGTTTGAATAAAGAATGATTGAGATCCTGGAAGGAACCCCCTAGAGAACTGGTAGAATGATTTATCTCCTACCTAGTCTCGCAATTTGACGAGTGCTGTAAACTAAACCCCTTAAAGTCTTCAGTTTCTAAATCTCCGTCAATAGCGCCAGACCCTCAAGCTTGCTCTGAAATGGAACCTCATCTGGTTTACAAGAGACAAGTGGAAGGGGAGATGCTCCGGAAAGATACTTGCGCATTTCCTTGAACGCGCATGTAGAAGGCACGCCAAGGCTCGTGTGCTACATGACAGTTAGTTCCGAAGACTGATTCTTGCCGATGAAAACTATGGATGGAACTTACACCAATACCATCTATTTCGACAAGTCCAGAGCCGGGGAAGGATGTAGATGCTCTCCGAGTGCTATTATTACAGTCAATACATTGTGCTCTTGGAACAGGGGGGCAAATTGACAAAACTCACCCGACAAGTGGTGTAACAGGATCTGCTCTGTTGCCAATAAACAAAATAGGCGAACTGGTCTTGTTGGCCGAGGGCGGTAGTTGGCCTTGAAAATCCTGTTAGTGATATCCCTCAAATGCTCTTATCTGGGGAAAATTCGTACCAGTGAATTGTCCACTTGTTGGTGGAATCACATCCAGAACACGGCAAGTCGCAGATGTAACAGCCCAGGCCTCTCCGGTATACTTGCTTTGCGTCTTCAAGAAACTTGCATAATCTCGGAAGTTGTCAAGAGAGGAGAGATTGTGCCTACCCCCAGCATCGACACACCCGATCATTGTATACCCCTGGACCGAGTTGTAACTGGCTTCTTTACTGTAGTTGGCGCCTAAAACCATCTTCTTCGAAGCTATCAACGATTCGCCGCGTCCCTGTTCCAGATGTATGAGAATCTGAACTATTTTTGGGTAGGACGCCAGAGGGAAGTTGGTAGCAAGGAGCAGGACGTTACTCCAATCTGCATATGTGGCCAGGGCAGGCACGTCAACAATGGCAGGGTCCCAAACAGGGATCGGATGCTGCTTGAGCTTGGTGAGAATGTTGGAGAGGCGGTATTCGATAGCCTCAAACGAATCCTCATAAAGAGGACAGGCTTCCCCACCAGCAGCTAAGCAGGAGGAGATCAGCCCATCGACCACCTTGTCTGTGTCGATGAGGCTTTTGCTCCAGGAGCCCCCGTAGTAGTCCTCGCCATCTACCACTCCATCAAGTATGAAACGACCAATGCGGTCAGGAAACAGTGCAGCAAACGTGGTACCGAGAACGCCTCCGTAGCTGAACCCCGCGAACCACAGCTTCGCATCTGCTTTTGGCTTGCCTCTTGTCGCGTGTGCGAGTTCGGCGAATGCAAGCATGTCACGAGCCACAGCCGGAGTGTTCACATATCTTGCCGTTCCATTGGGACCTCCTATCACCGGGTTGCACCAGCGACCGAAGGACTCGGCCAAGTAGAACTGGGTTGCGATGTTGTCGGGTGTATCCGCTATGATGCGATAGTATTGTGATTCGAAGATCGCTTTCGTCGCTGGATCATTCGAGAAACAGTCGAGCGCAGGTCCGGTGTTGTTGACGCCTCGAGGATCGAAACTAATCAAGTTGACACTCGAGCCAAAGACGTTGGCGAGTAACGGTGAGATGTTCAACAGTGTTGCAACACCTGAGCCGCCCGGTCCCCCTAAGACCATATGTCAGAAGTATCACAGACTGGTTCTTGAGAAATTATCGTCTTACCGAAATTTAGAACAAGATCCTCCGCTGATTCATTCTTTGAAGGATATTTCACGAACGCTACTTTCGTAGTTCCCACACTTTCATCAGTCCAGTCGAGAGGCACCTAAAGGTTGTCAGTCATTATAAAGTCAAGTTTGAGATTGTTTGTTTCACCTCTAGTCTCGTGCAAAGAAAATCTTCACCAAAGCATGGCACCCAGTCTAGTTTGGTAGAGGAAGCAGAGGACGTTGGCACCTAGGCACGTGAGATTCATATTCTCCTAAAGAAAGTTGTTGAGACCATACCTCTTTCCAATCATAAAGGCTACTTGAGCTATTCTGGGATGCAGCGCAAAAATTTGAGAACAGAGTGAGCAGTCGCAACAGTGTGCCTGTGGTCCTCGAAGTGTTTGGTATCATCGTGTGCTTGGTCGTTTTTATTACGGTGAATTGGAATGAACTTGGAACTTAAAAAAAGAGGGCGTCCGGCTAATTTATACCACTTCCCCTTGGAGCTTTCAGGTTTGGTTTCCTTGGATCTCAATATCTCACTCATAGCTCCCAGTCCTGCGATGTAATTCTTTGGACGCATCGTCAAAATTGCTTAAAACGGCTAAGCAGCACTGCCAAAAGACTAGGATTGATGATGACAAGTGTATCATCACCAACGTCAGCCACAATGCACGGCCCGCATATGATTGGTCCCCTCGACTAAATTTCTGTTCTAGAGATCTCATCCATGCCGATCTTCCGACGAAAGGAAAGATAAGTTGGAAGATGCTGCATTCTGAAAACTTGCGTACTGGGTCAAGCCCCTCGTCATGTCAGACATTGTCCTGAAACCCACGTGGATAATACGAGATGGGCACCAATCTTTGATTTGCTTCCTATAATCTTATAGGAACAGCTGAACGCAAACCTTTTCCCTTCCCTGATTTAGTGAGCTGGGAAGCGACGAGCAGCTGTTCTACGGAGTGGATGAAAGGGCTCTCGTGATGTCTCTCCTATCTTAACCATACGAACTGAGCTACTAAATTTCATCTGATTTAGACCTAAAAAGCTACATAATCGAAATACTGTCTGTATTTCATAGTCTATGGAAGTGTTAAGCTATTGTCTTTGGATTATTGCCTGCATGGGAACTGAGGCGTGGAAGTATCCTACGGTCCTTCAACTTGGCCAAATGGCCATTCCCCATTTGTTCCTCACATAAAAATTTGGAAGACGCACCTGACTGACAACTTTAGGGTATTTTGGTGGAGAAATGGACCCCTCCTGCAGAGACAGACGACGAAGAGTCTCTTTGGCTGTCAAAGGAGGTCTGCCGAGCTTGAATAGAGAAAGTTTAGATGTAAAGGGATTCTAAGGGGGCACGAAGGTGGGGTTTGGGCGTAGAAACTGGCCCTACATCTAGCTGTTACACACCTTTGGGTTTGACCCCAGACTGGGGGGCTGGGAGGCGGAGCTCCTAGGATAAAAACCTGATACTCTTCTCCCTTATGCGAGGAATACGGATGAAGAAATCGAATCATATTGATGAGTGGTAATTTTTGATATGTCTAAGTACCCCGCTGCCATGTTCCATGAATTCTCAACATCGCTCGAAGGTTGAGAGGGTTTAGCTTGGATAGCTGGCGCTAAAATACAATAAGAAATTGTAGCATAGATAGACTAGCTTCTACTTATGCCGATAAATAATGGCGTTCATACAGTCTCGGCGATTCCTGAGTTGTGCATAAGACATCATCGCCTGGTATTCAGAATGGAAGGACCGTATCATGTGATCCTTTTGGATGATGATACTGTAGTTTGATTGGTATTTTTGACTAGAAGGTGACTAATATGACGTTAATCATGCATCGTGTTGGTAGTGTATCTTGTTCGGGGTATATTGCATAAAGCAGTTTCATGGTTATGTGTCTATGTGGGAGCACAAACTCTTATCATGGCGTCGATGATTCTCCACCTGTCATAACTGGCTATTACGGCATGTGCTTCGTTATTATAGGTGGAACCTTCGGACTTTTCACTGCGTCACTAGGTATCTCGTTAAGCTGCATAAGGTGCTTGGAATGTCACAAGTGCATATCCACGCTTGACGGGTAGGCATTATATAATTGTGGAGCGCGGCTAGTTGCAGATTGATGCTACCGTAGCAACGTCAATCAAGACGACCAGAGTTGAAGTCGTGTTGTAGAGGCATCCTGTGGGATGGAGCGAATCAAAACTTAATGAGAAATATAATGAGAATTATTGAGACCGTGCAAAGTATCTCGTAAGTCTTTGGACTTTGCAAAGGACACGTAATTGACCACCATATGCGTGGTGGTCTGTGTGGATATGGAGCGTGCAGTTCTCATCGTTGCAACGAGCCTCGAGCCCACACCAATCGCGACATTCTCGGGGAGTATTGGGTTCAGCTGTTGCGAACGAAGAGACACTGCGAACAATGTCACTAGAACCAAACATTTTCTTTGATGTTACATTTCTCGCTAGTTGTCGACTTATCAAATTACCGCGCCGTGGCCAGACCATGTAACGATGACGAAGCGCACATGTGATTTCCTCTCGGTCTCCGACCTTCTTGTTTTTGATATTCTGCAAAAGCCCCCAAAGTCTTGGACCTAATTCAGAAAACTTTACGACAACTCACATTGTTATGTATGATTGCAGAGTTTCAGTTTACTGGTTGCACGATTCTATTGATAACGGGATGAACCTTTACCGAGAAAGCCTCGGGTAATACCTAGAAGCGTAGCTTGCTGTCAAGTTTCATGCTACCATACATTGCCGTAAGTGGCGTGATAGGGTGTCTGTCACTTCTGACAGAATCTTAGCTGTCGCTCAGCTGGAAAAAAAGGGGGGTCATAGTAGCGATTGGTCACTCACAGTCATGCACGGTATCCCACGCATCCACGGAGATGAAGGCATTCAGAAAGCATTGGAAACAAGTTTTCGAATTCCAAAGAGTAAGGAGCGAAATCAAGCCAATCACGAGAGCAAGCCAGGTGTGATATCAGAGGCGCAGTAGAGGATGCGCGCTTGCCTGCGGGCGACACGCATCGTGGCATGCGTCTCTTAAGCTGCAATACAACCATTATGACAGAAGGTTGGTGTGGAGCAGCTGGACAGTCGCACAATTCAAAAAGGAATGGAACTGGAGCAGTCGGGGAGTAACAGCCGGTCAAATACAGCCCCGTGGTTGTCAAGCTTCAGCTCCCTTCCGCCCCTACCCCCCACTCCACCACTCCATTTATTCCTGAGCGCTTCATTTGTGCCTAACGCAGTTACCCTGGTAGATAGCATCAAGGAGGTGGGGTTTTGAGTAGATCTACTGGTCGGTTATGATGATCACACCTTTGCTTCATGAACCAACGTGTCCGATCGTTCGTTAGCTTGCCCGGGGGTGGATGAACAGAACCCTGACTCACACACAAGGCCCGGCCCGAATGGGCACTAGGCAAAAGGGCAGTCACAGCCCTCACCCTGAGAACGATGAATGGTACGGGTGGGGAGACTTATGCCGCGGGGTACTCTGACGCCTTGAATCAGGCCGTACCCGGCTCCAACGGGATTACTACCCCCCTGGCCCGAGATACTAAGCTTCATGCGGACGCGGGATGCGTTTTCATGAATTCGATATCGTGATACAAGCGTTTCTGAGTTGAATTGCCCGAAAATCAGACCTTGAAGGGTCTTTGCCGACCGGTGTTATGACGCGTATAACCGGCCAGGATGCCATGACACTTCCTGGATTCAGCTCGCCGCTAGACCTCTAAGCCCCAGGTGTGTAGTATTTTTCTTCGAAAGAGTCAAACCTCCTGCCGAACCGGAAATTGATTCGTTGCAACCCGGCTGGGGCGTGTATCGCCAGCAAGAAGGCTGGATGGCTCTCATGGTAACACAGGGACGTTGATCCACTGTAAGATGGGCACACAACGGCGATCATGAGCTAATTCTTCCGTAGCACAAGCGTAATACGTGTAATTTAAACCTGACATAGTGAAATCAAAGCGAGATGTGCATTTGGTCACTCGTTGCACAGAAATCTGTGTCCTCCACCAGAAGTTCTGTAGCCCTTTGAGGTCATCATGGCTGCCAACGTTGCTTGGCACCTGTGTCACGAACCGGGGAATTACGGAGAGCGGCCTCCTGGCCACACCTTAGGCCCCAGGGGTTGGAAATTGAGCACAGAAGGTGCTTACGGGTTGAAGAGGGAGGGTTGACCGGTGCCAATGTGGGCCAGTATACCTCTCCGGAGTAGCATTCAACCAAAGCTGCCAATCAGGCTGTCCGGAGGAGCCTGCATCCTCTTACAAGGAGTAAATGCATGGTACGTACCCTGGAACTTCTGTGTATAATGCATGGAAGACCCCCAAGCCCTACCCGTGTGATTGACGACGGTGGCTTCCCGGAGAGTTGCATAAACTCACGGACACGCCTGCCCCCACCACGACGCCCGGTCAAGTCAGACAAGGGGGCCACAAGGAGCAAGGTTCCTTTCGTGTACCACAAAGTACTGCTATGGGCGAGTTAGAGATCATCTATAGATGCCGTTGACACGTCATTCGGCGGGGATGCGGCTCTGCGCTCCTTAGACCGAGAACGCCGCGAGCGGAAAGAACTCCTGTCTACTCACAACAACCGCCAGACTCAAGGCAATCGTAAATGTTGAGAGACACATGGCGTCTGCATATCGTAGGAATCATTGTGAAACCACCTGTAGCCAAAAATTATAAAAGCCACCTCCAAATACCACCATTTCCTGGCATGCCCCGAGTAAACACACCACTACACCCAGCCTGGCCTTCTCTGCACTCTTGACTTCTCTACACTCCTGAATTATATACACTCTTCACTCCTCTACACTCTTGAATTCTCTAAACTGTCGCCTTTCCTGACAACCCACCATGGTGACCAACACTTTGGTGACCCCTTATTACTCCTCTGGTATCAGAGAAAGATTCCTCCTTCACGCTTTGCACCCCCCTTCGACAACTAAGAATGTCAAGTATGCTGAGCTTGACTACGAGTTTGATCCTATGGCTTACCAGAAGCGCTCTCTCGCCAGAGTTGCAACTGAAAAGCTCCCAAAGACCCTGCCCAAAGGATGGCCTGCTGCCGTCCATGGCCCTCTCGCCTGGTCAGGGAAAGACTTTGCCAATGAAACTCCGTTTATATACATGGTCTCTGATGAAGAGAACCAGGAGATAGCCCATGCTCTTGCCTGTTTTTCTAGTGGGCTTGAGTCTTTCGAACTTATCGGTTGCCCTGCTGACATGCTGTAGAACTTGGCATTAAGCCGGAGAAAGTTACACCGGAACTCTTTCCTCTTCCGACCCTCCAGCGTCGTTTACAGAAGATCCAAGATGAGATTTACCACGGTCACGGTTTGGCAATACTGCGTGGGTTGAACATCGACGGTCTCTCCGACGAGCAATTGACCATCGTCTACCTCGGCGTGACTTGCTATGTAGCCGGCGTGCGCGGCAAGCAAGATCAGCGTGGTTCAATGATCAGTGTGCCTCCCACACTTTGCTTCTTTCTGTTTCCATCCTAACTTAGTTTTAGTGCATGTCATGAGTCGAGATGACGAAGACTCTGTTCATAACAAGCTCGTTGAGAAGGTATGTTGCCCCTTTTATAGGTTGATTAGAACGAGATGTTTAATTCGTATCTAGCCGTATCACACCGATACAAGCTGTGACTGTTTGTGCTTGCTGACCAAGGCATGTGCGGCAAGTGGAGGTAGAAGCCTCATCTCTTCCGCTTGGAATGTCTACAACATTCTGGCAGCAACGCGACCAGATTTGATCCACACCATGATGCAGGCAAACTGGCCTTTTGATACGTAAGATAACTCTTTCCAATGCCGAATACTGGGAGACTAATCGTGTAAGTAGATCTGGCCGTGACCCGCCATATGTAATGCGGCCCATCCTGTACCTCCAAGATGGGAAGATCATCATAAATGTCTCTCGTCGCCAACTCTGTGGCCACCCCAATGATCCACGAACCCCGGGGATCCCGGGTCTTACCGAGGCTCAGGCTGAGGCACTCGATGCAATTCATGCCATCGCTAGGGAGCATGAGATCAAGACAACCATGCAACAGGGAGACATTCGTTTCCTCAATAACATGGCCTTGCTCCATCGTAGAGAGACCTTCTACGACGATGATCAGTCAAAGAGACACCTCATGCGACTGTGGCTGCACAACCCTAAGCAGTGCTGGGGCCTCCCCAGAACTCTCAGGATCGCTTGGGCCCGCATTTTTGAGGATATGGAACGTGAGGCCCACTGGGACATGAGTCCTGTGAGGGAGGGTGGACGTATCTTGCGCACTGGACAGTCTTGTGACTAAATGTTCCCTAGAAATTGCTTGTTATAGTTTTCTCCATGATTGTTTCTTCCTACTGTTTGTTGTGTCTTGAATTAACATCTTGAATTAACAACGATCGTTACTTATTTATTTTTATCTAGCTTGGAAGACTGGCCAGAGGCTAGGATAGTGAATTTAAAGGATAATTCTTTGGCAACATTGTTACGTCAAGGCTGCTTGTCTGGCTCCCATTTAGTGTCATACAGCTGTGAAACCCAGTAAAAGTCTTCCCAGACCTTTTGCTCTCTTCGTATGGTAGCAAATAACTCAGCTTAGTGAGGAGCCTATTAGTATGGTTCAGAATATAAGGTGGGGAGGAAGTACATTTCTCTTTGGCCAATCTCTTGGTTTCAGCCAGAACTTGAATTTGGCTTTGGTCTAAACATCCTGATGTTGCCGCTGGATTAAAGAGATGAGTTCCATGGTTGACATGGAAGTGTGCTAGCATGGTAATGGCACCTGAGTGCAAGGCGGCAATGGCATCCGGATTTACGTATTCGCCCTGTACAATCCTTATTAGTTTCATTCAAGTTATTCAATAGTTAGTTCAGTTTCCTCACCGTGTGATTGATTTGTCTAGCATATTCCTTGTTTCTTCTCGTGAGCATAGAACAGCTGTGGAGAATGATGAATAGCCCCAAGTAAGAAGGATATCGGATTTTGGGATTCGCGTTCTTGAGGAAAAGCCCAAGTTGAGAAACAATGCTCTTGCTCAGGGGAATGAGAATTCCGGAATAAACGATGATCTGCTCCTGAGGCGTGATGATAGGGGGGAGTGGCACCTTGCCGTGCATATTGTAACTTGTGTCATTGATAGGAGCTAGTCCAAGTGTCTCGTCACCGATGATTTCCAACGAAGTGGAGGTGATACGACACGCAACCCAGAAGCGAAATATCGTAATCAGAAGTTCTTTCTCCATGGGGTCCTAAAATGATCCTCATTAGCAACATGCTTCAACGCAGCCCCTTAACATACCTGGGTGTGTTCCGCTTGCCATAATGCGGCAGAGTATGTCCTCTGTATCAGTATATCATGGTGGCGTACTGTAGCCTCGACGAATATTGCGACATACTGGTCAATGACGGTGCGATATGACTTAGCTGCTTCTTCCAAGTCGGCGATTGCATATGGCGGCATGTCGTATCTCGTCATTTGTGAACCGTCCCACCATGATCTGAAAGTGACATCTGTACCATTTGGAACGAACTTTCGTAATTTTAGTTCAATCGGAGCATGTAAAATGGTTGGAGTAACGCGAATGGTCAGTATGTCACTCGATTCCCAGTCATTGGCGTCAAGGTCGACCATGTCCATTGTTGCCCACCGTTGGCTGGCTCTCTGAGCTGGCTGCTTCTGCACGCGAAAGAGAGCGGCATCAGAAACCTCGTAACGAAGACACATTCCAGTCCTGAATGGAGTCAGGCGTTTTTCACAAGGCTTGCAGATGATACCGTCGTCGCACTACGGTATTGATTAGTTCACTATAGGAGACACAAGAGCGAGCTAGCAGCACACATACACCTCTTTTTCCTCGGCGACAAAAGTAGCAAGGATTCGAAGCTTTTTCTTCTATCTCATCCGTAAGCGTGCAATTCATGTGGCTCTCCGCTATCATCCTTACTGGGTTGCGGCTGTCGTCTGCCACTCTTGGGCTTGGGACCACGCCGAAGCTATGCTTGATGTCAGCATCTAGTGGGAGTTCAGGAAGTTCTGTGGTGACACACCCTAGCGGGTAGCTTGACAGAGCGAGAAAAGCCTATGGAAGCTGGCCAGTGACTTGGCGCGCGTGGGAACAGAGTGCCCTGCCCAATCTCCCGACCGGGTGCTGATGAGGGTTCTCGGGCCACATCGACCCATGACGCCTCGGAACTTAGGGTGATATCGGTGCTCCCGGAACCCTGGCCATCAGTGTAAGTGTGCGGGCGCCCAACTGGTAAGTCTTCGGCCCGCCCCGAGGCATCATCCGCGGGGAGAATGGACTGGCTGGTTGGTTGCATCATGGTGGGCTGTTGGTCCATAGTGAGGTCGGACATATCGTATCCGGTTATGTCTTCGCCTATATCGCCTAAAATCAAGTCAATGGCAATATCGTCTAGCTCGTCAGGAGGCCTCTGCTGAGTTCCAGGTAAGGTCACATCAAAAGGGGTGGTGCCATATGTGCCAGGGGTGGTTTGTTGAGGATAAGGTGCGTCTTGGGTAGACCCCGGGCATAAGCGAGAGTAGAGATACGCCGGTGACCATCCCAGCTCCAGTGCAGCTCGCTGTATCTGCTCGGCGCTCGGCATGTTATTTCGTGACATGCCAGCAAACCAGTCGTCCGTTGCGGATCCGTGCTGGGCAGCCTGGTCACCATCCATCACGTGTATCGTGGAGGCGACAGGGCTTGTGAACTATCTTGGAAGCAAGGGGTTTGGCTCGCTCAATGCCTACTTTATGGGATATTCTTCACAATATACTTGGGCAGCCATATGGCCAACTGACTAATATGCAATAACAATGAGGAGGCAAAGAGGAGAAACAAACGTCACCAGTACCGAAATCTCTCTCCCACCGATTCTATTCCGTTGAAACTACTGGACAATCATTTATCACATTGACTCCTTACCCCGCTCGAGGTCGTGATTGGATGGCATTGCGTTACGGCTGAGGGTAATCTCCTTTCACCTGCTGCACGTGCACAGAAAGAGAGAAGCTCCTCCGTTATGTGGCAGATTTTCAGAACACGTGGACAGATAGGAGCCAGTAGAACCTAATCTTGTGTGACAAAAGTGCAGTTGCATCTGAAAATGGCGACGTGTACAGGAAAACCAATGCATCAATGCCTAGTAGCCCCGAGGACTGTCTCACAACTCCTGCAATCCAACTCAGCTCAATTCAGCGTCAGCCAATGAGGTTGCAGATAACCCCAGCCCCGGCCGTGTGTCACTAATAATATACATTTCTGGTGTGGTGTGGCTCAATAATAAGCAATGCAACATTCTCCAGTCGACAGGCATTCGGTAAGCCAGGTACTTTCACCACTCTCAATGGCCGCGGTTGGCCTTGCCGGCTCAGTGGCTCGAATCGCGAGAGTACTGAGTTTTCATCAAGTGGAAGGACTTCATAATAAAACAAACTGCTTGACGTCCTACCAGTGGCAGGTGTGTAGGGAGTGGGCGGTAACCGATCAGCATAACTAGTTTCAGAATCAGCCCAGAAGACAACGGGCGAGAGTTTAAGTCATTACCTTAGTGTTTCTTAGGCCGAATTTGCAGGTTGTCAGTTGTAAGTTTGGGAGGATTTCGGCTTTTTCCGTCTCCGTTCTCGGCAGGCCGTGCAGGCTGGGCATGTTTGTTGGTCGGTTGATGAAACGCGCCCGGATCAAATGATCCTTTGTCCTCGGTAATAAGTTGATTGCTTACTTTAAACGAGTTGACCCTGGGGTTCTTACCATTTGCGGCGATCAAACCAATATATGAGGTGGGTGTGCCGCCGCTTGTCATCGTTCAAGTGTTCTTGTCTTCTTTCTGGGTTAACTTTTCGGGTTTTGCTTTCTGTGCACAGAGCAGCGAAATTTGAGAAAACAGTAAGACGAAGAGGTTCCCCCTCCCTTTATGGCCAAAACTGCTTCCATTCAATGAGGTCTCACTCACTACACCACAAGCCAGCAAGAGCCACCCGATCAACGTTGACTCTTAGTCGGCGCATATCTAAGAGCACCCTAAGAACCAAAATGTCGAGACTTGCATACCGCCGACCGAGTTATCTACGCACCGGTTCGCTGAACTGGTTCTTGGCTGATTATACTTGACTAGATTGGGGCACTTTCGCCGGTTCCGCATCTGACATGCAGCAAAAGTACTCGCTGAGATCTCGTACTCAGCGGTTTCACCTTAGTCAGTCAATGCAATATCGTCATACTACGGACCAGCGAATGAGAAGCGAGATAACTCGAGCTCGCCGCAAAAGAAGTGGAGATGCTGCAGCTCAGCCCATGTATCTCACCCGAATCGAGCACTTTCCTGCACCGGTGAGTTTCACTACGCAGGCCAGATAACTTGACCAAGTTTATTCGAGTCGAATTACGTCTCCCGGAATTGTCGTTAGTCTTGTGCGAGTCGTTAGTCTTGTGCGAGTCGTTAGTCTTGTGCGAGTCGTTAGTCTTGTGCGAAGTTACATCATTTGATTCGAAAAGGGGAAGAAAATGGGGGGGAATCGCAAGAGTTACTTGGCTGGGAAACTGGCTGACGGCTCTGCGTGGATGAAAAAGAGTGACGCACTGAGACCGAGAATTGATAGAGCAAAAAGGAGAGGAACTGTTACTTCTAGCCATCCACTCTCAAACTGCTGGAGTGGTGGTTCACGCATAACTGAACAAACCGACCACACCCGACATCTGAAATCCAAAACGATTTTCCACACAACGACGTGATCCTATTTTCCCCTTTACTGAGTCTAAAAAGCTGCATTGACCACTAGCAATGGAGAATATCAACTCCAGCGAGTTTCAAATTATCCACAGCATCCTGCACGATTTTTGCCATCGCAAACAACCGCTCCTCGTCTTGCCTCCTTCCAATCAACTGAATGCTGATAGGAGAGCCATGGAATTCTCCCGGGTCATCTACGTCACAATCAGCTTTGGAATGAATTTTAGGCGAAGTAAGGGCCTTACAGGTTTGCATCACTTCCGCATCTTTTGACGTGAGAGGCTTGAAGTTTGGATCTGCCGTGTCGATGTGCTGATCTGCAACAGTAATTGGGATCCCAATACTGGGATAATCCAGAACATTCAAAGAAGTTGCATACGCTGAACCCAGAGAGATGAGTATGGCATTCCAGCAAAAGCCATGGTAGATTTGTTTTCTCACCAGAGTATTTGATTTGAACTCTTTTGATTCCCGCATGCGGTGTAAGAGGTGATATTATCGCTTCAACTGGATGACCTTTCATGGTATGTTAATTCAAGCTTTGGTTCATCGCATTCACTGTCAGGGAATTGGAAGGCCTACCATTCTTCGTTCTTTCGAACGACGATTCCCAATAGTCGTTCCACTTCTCCCGAAAAGCGACCATCCGAACCACAAACGATTGATAATCGACAACAGAAATTGGAGGCGCAGCCCTCCTTTTTGGGAATGTAAGTTCTAATTCGGGTGTCAAAGGCTCACCAGATAATTCTAGGGCTTCCCAGACATCTAAGCACCCATCGCCACGAGCGAGAGAGCCCTTGGGTCTCGTGTTAGCTACTAATACAATGGTATTTCGCGATACTAAAAAGAACTGTTGCTCACATGGATATTGGCCACTTCGCTGTTGCTAGGGGGGTACCAGCCAACGAGTTCAATGTCGGCCATCTCCATTGCTTTCTTCACGATTCTCATCGCTCTGGCAACAGGAGGATGCGGAGTAACAATCCCATCATTTTCAAGGAATCCAAATGCGAGATGAGCACGCTTCGGCAATCCACCGTCACACAAACCTTGCCAGGGCATTCTAGTCACGGCCTGATCGCGAGTCCATGGCATGGTGGATAATGTTGATTTGAAAACAGATTGGAGAATGTCGAGAGAGGGACCCATGATACCTATAACGGCCGGCATTGCCACCTGTCCAGGGCTCTGATCTGGTCAGCTTGCTCGCCTTTTGATATTCGAAGGCACGTACTATTTTGACACCACCCTGAAAGGAGATGCGACCCGTCGACGGCTTCAGACTGTAGACTCCCTGGTAGGCCGCTGGTATAGACACTGAGCCCCCGATATCCGTTCCAAAACCGAAACAACTCCCTCTCAACGCCTGCATTGCAGCTTCACCTATTTTCTTTAGTGTTAGGCTTGTCGCAGTACACTAGATATTTAATAGAGTTCTCTTACCTCCTGAAGATCCACCTGTTGACAAATGCCGGTTGTGCGGGTTAACAGCATACCCGAGAATGTTGTTGTTGGTAATAGCAGACTACAAACCCTCGTTAGAATGTTTGATAAACTGTAGGATTATGATAGACCCTGTGGGCTTTGTTAGACTCACCCAAGTTCCAGTTGCGAGTGTGGTCTGACTTATAATCAGTACACGGAAACTAATATGTTCCTTTAATCATGACTTACCTTACCGATGGGGATAGCCCCTGATGACTTGAGCTGTTCTACAAGCAAGCTCTCATATTTCATGTACTTTTCAGACCCTGATTTGCCTTCAAAGGTGCCGATCCATCCTATGTAACCGGCACTAGTAGGCATCCCTTCAATGTGAAATTGGTCCTTCATCGTGAATGGAAGCCCATGCAACTCTCCAATTAGTTTTCCATGCTTCTTGAAATATTCGTCACACTCTCTGGCTTGGCTCAGCGCTAAGTCGAAACCAATCTCTAAGAGCAGGTCACACTTCACCATGGTCAGTTAGTATTAGTATCATATGTGCAAGAGCCTTTCGCAGGTACTCACAATCTGATGACAGTATGCTGCGCGTTTGCAAAATGCAGACACCACTTGGACAGCAGTCAGCTTGCCCTGGGACATTTGGTCAATGAGCTCCCGCGAGTTCGTGTTTGTGATGAACCTTGTCTCGTCATCAAGCAGGTTCTCGATCACCTCCCCAGAAACTTTGGGTTGTCCTTTTGCCCATTTGACAAGTTCAGGCTTCAGTCGCCAGTGCTTGGGGATCTTCTCTTTGTCAGCCGCCAGTTTCTTCTGCAACGTGTCACGCCAACAGCTCCTCTCGGCAAGGGAGTTGCAATGGAACAGCAATCCTCTTTTTCGAATGAAGAGAATGAGTGAAAATGAAAAGGGGAGAAGGAAGATCAAAAGTATGGGTGATAGAGCAATGGATCGCATTGAAGGACGGGGTAAGTCCAGGCTGAGCGATGGGGCCTCATCGCCTTCGGTTTGGTGTAGGCCGTTTAAGTCTTGCCAGTTATGCACACTTTCATGTGCATATGGTGAAGTCAGCTCCATGCTGATGACGTCAACAAAGGGCTTTGGTCTTGTAGGTGTTTTGGGGCACAAATCTTTGGCGAGACGCAGAAGAGGGTGGCTTATCAGTTGGTAACAGAAACAACTGCAGTCGAACTCGCTGCATTCAACGATGAGAGCCTATTGACTAGGATGAACTTATTTGGATTATTTTCATTTAACTATAAGCACCCTGGGGATCTATTTATGCTTCCGAGCGAGAGATAGCGCTCATTTTCTCATCAACGAATCCGCGTCGCGCATACACCTTTGTGGGTTATGAGTGTCGACCCGGACTCAGCACATCCGAGTACCATCATGTGAGCGCAGTCTATCCAATAGCTGATCACAATTACGGAATGATAGCTGATATCTCTGAAAAGAAATCATCCAGTTCGAACCTCAACCCGGTAGGTGGTAAGATGAATGCCAATCAATCCCCAAGCGGATGATCCCACAGGAGCAAGTCGTCTCCATGCGCCCACGCGAGGTCAATACGAATGGATTAGAGTTTGAGTCTAGTTCTAGCTGCCTAGCTGGCATATAGCCCCTTACTCAATAATGACTTCTTGGCACGCAAAGCGTACCGCTTTCATCGTAGCTGTGGTCTCGAACCCGCAAGCTCCGTTTTCTTTCAATGAGACAAGAGACCAAAGGACAGATGTGATAAGTCTTTCGATAGGTCTTTAATTAGCTTAGCTTCTCCAACTTCATGTCACTTCTCATCAATTATGGGCAGTGCACTACACCCGGTTTGTGTTTGGTGGCTTCTGATATTTGCTCAGTGGATCTCCGCGGATGCACGGTTGAGCACATTTTCAGAAATTAGCTATGGAAGCTGTCTATGGTCCATTGTTTGTGATCCAAGGGGCATGGGGTCTTCATTCCCGCCCTGTAAGCTATGAAAAGAAACACCGTCACAAAAGCGTTTATTATCCTGTTCGCCCCATACCAACGCCCCGAATTGCAATCTGGTCAACTGAGACATGAAAGCTTGGCAAAAAGCATGAGCTGGCTGCTTATTTCGTATTTGGTGATTCAACACATGAAAAACTCTGTGATTGGCAATGTCTCGCCCTCTGCCCCCATTTTGTGTCTCGCATTGCTACACGCTTTTGACAGGATTGGCATTGTCCAGGAAACTGGCACCATTGCATCATATGTGACATCCCAAAGTATCCAGGATTATGGTAGTGATCACTAATATTTTTACACTTGTGTCGGCCAAGGATAAGGGATGTTGACAGTGTCCTCGGCAAAGACACCCGCTTGCTGACCACGCCTAGACTTGAGGTTGGCTTTTATAAGAATTATTGCCCGTATTTTATTCATAGGCATCGGAATATTTTTACGGTTCATGAATGGCGGAAGATCTTGAATCTACCAACGAGGAAGAAGGGCTGTGAAGACCAGGCTGATCGCCTCTTTATCTGCCTTGTCAACTCGGCAAACTAGCATGAAGAACTTCTGTCCGTCCTCGCCTTTGTGTAACGCTGGCATTTCCCTAAAACTGCATCGCCGCGATCATACGACACCCTCCGAGGTCGCTTTATGTTCAGATGTGACTGAATTTATACGCGTAAACGATAACACTGGCGACGCCTTGACGCCCATGCATTCTTTCAATCTAGACTTTGCGCCCCCATCAAACTATTACCATTTGGAAAAAAGCAATACTCATCGCATTTGGAAAAAAGCAAGACTCATCGCAGAGGAGGTGAGACTCGACCTCACGGAGAGGACCAAAAATCTTGACTGATCACCTACACTAGCGTCCAATTGTGAGCTGAGGTGGATATGTCTCACTCACAATGTCCAAGTATGCCTATCCTCAGGCCAGTATGATGTAAGATCCTGGCTATGTTGACTAGAACCTTCTATCCAACCGTAAGATACATGCAAAGGCTTATCTCCCCCATTGTTACTGGGCAGAAACAGAGTCTGTTATGTCTGAGATGACGACTGCCCATGATTACGTGTTGGTATTAGCAGCATGATAGTCTGGCGGATATCCACTCAGGGGAGGGGTAAACGGAGACCCCATCTTCGAAAAGGCCTCGCCTAGACAGTCATACTCGGTGGATGTTTTCAGAATGGAGCTTCAAGCATAGTAGGGGCAATCTAGACCTTGGTTTCCCTGTGTCAAGGTAAATGCTAAGATGCAAGATACACACAAGCGTTGTTGCTGAGTATAGCTTTGGTCATTCGGGCTTATATTCCCGACGCATAAGTGGACTGAGCTAGAGGCAAATGTGGGAAACGCCCCCACAGAAGAACTTGAGCAGGGGGCCAAGATAGCCATGCCTTGCAGCCTACAAGCATTGAGCAAGTTTGGTAAATTGAGATAGTATCATATCGATTACGATATGTGTTGCTTTATTTTCTACTCTAATAGAACTTTGTATTCAACAAGTCATGGTGATAACTCCTGCTTAGGAGGCCAAGATTCGGCTAACTACCCGCAGGGGTTCGTAAGCTTCGGGTTATATCCGTTGGGCATAAAGGGGGAAAATCCCTCTCAAGGCCCTGGAGATTCGTAAACACGTTAACGAACACCTTGGAATTCGCAACTCATCATCGAATACACGATGTCAGCAACTCAGAAAATTGACGATGCCAATCCATCCTTGGCCGCGCCTCAAAATGAGGATTCTTCCAAACCCAGCTCCAAGATCGGAACCTTTCAGCTGTCATCTCTTATCCCCGACGACCCAGCCTTTACGCCACTACTCTATAGATTACGCGAGGAGACCTTCCATAACAGAACCGTCCAGCTCCGGCACGGGTCATATCTCAAGCGGTTCACGAAAGATCCAGCCCGCAACCTAAGAAAGGCCATAAGCGAGGCTGGAATTAATTTGGATGACTTCATGAGCGAGTATGGATTGACAGGATGCATCGTCGTCCAAGATGGCGCCATACGACTGGAGGAGTATCGACACGGTAACACCCCCGCATCTCGCAACGACATCCAGTCCATTACCAAGTCGTTCGTGTCAACCTTGATGGCCATCGCGCAGCAAGAAGGGAAGCTTTCAGTCAACGATCCCGTGTCCCGCTACGTAGAAGAGTTGAAAGACACCGCATGGGCCGACATAACCCTTCGCGCTCTGGCCAGCATGTCTTCAGGCGTCGTTGAGCAATCGGACGACCCTCGGCCTGCCGACGTCCCAAATCCATATTGGGCGACCCACCTCTATCCATCGCAGGATCCCAACGCCGTTCTTGAGTGGTTCAAGACCTTTAGAAAGGTGGCTGAGCCGTGGGAGGAATTTCACTATTACAATCCGAACTACTATGCATTATCAAAGGCGATTTCTCGAGCCGTCGGCGAGCCCCTGGAGGATTACCTATCACGGAAGATCTGGGATCCTGCGGGTATGCAGTATGACGGATACCTGAGAACTACTGCGGCTGGCACAGCAGACGGGCACGGCGGTTTATCCATCACATTGTCCGATATGGCGAGGTTTGGATCGTTCGTCTTAGAGGACTTCAAGACCGAAGGCGCCGGTCCCAGTGTACCCAAAGGATGGTTCCAAGAGATCTCTGAAGGTCGGACTAGCACTGGGCCAAGGGCCCCAGGTGTGAACGGCATGGTATCGGATTTTGGGTACGAAACCGGCTGGTGGGTGCCAGCCAGAGAAGGCCACTTGGCTCAGCTAGCGGAGCTAAAAGCGTTTGGCGGCACCGGAATGTATGGCCAATCCCTCATGATCATTCCTAAGCTGCAGACTGTGGTAGCGATTCAGTCGGGATACCACGATGGGCTTTCCAGTGAGGTTTATAGCCACAATGCAAGGTTCACTGCGGCAATTGCCAGCATTATAGCACAGGGTAAATAGAACCGAAAGCGCAGTCAACTAAATAAATCTAAGTCGAATACGTGCCACCAAACAGTACTAGGAGAGGAAGTGTTTAGATGATACCTTGAATAATAAGCTTAATTCTACTTGTTTGTGTAATATCTCTGGGTAGACAAAGCTGGGCATCCGCAGTGTATGTGAGTCACAGTCTGAGGTTCAGTAGCGATCACTACAAACTTCTAATCAAGTCTATACTCTAGAAACAGAGTTCTTTGTAATTGCTAGCCTGTGCTTATTTCTGTAATATCTTCCATAAATCAACCATGGTTGATTTAATAAGAGCAAGAGGCTAAAATATGATATTCGTCAAGGTTAGATGAGGAGATATAGGGTAGGTTGGAACTCAGCACATGTGTTGAGTGAGTCTTGGTGGTCAGTTCACTTAGAAATCTAGCTCACCACTGACTGTGGGCGTGCGTTCCCAGTCCCCTTTATTCTACCTTGATGTCATTTCCCAGACTGCTTCTCTCAAAGGTAAGATTGAGTGCGAGTCAGTAGGAACGTTCGCCAAGCACAGTTGATGTGTTACCCCGCACATTTCCCGTTTGAGTAATTTCCCTTTTCTACCCCATTTCCTAATCTCCTCCTGAGTCTGATGATCTTGTACGTATCATGTTGCTACACCGGCTTGCGACCGGCAGCAATACCGGGATTGGCCTTCGAGATAAGAATCCAATTAAATTAATAATTTTGGTTGTGTTGCAATGAGGGGCCGAGTTATGTTTGATGTCACTCGACATTGAACGAGGCCGAGGGAGACGCCCACAATGCTGAATCTCATGTTCTGTTCGCGGATCTTCAATCCACGCTTTCGCTTTCGTGCTTCTCGACGTGGTATTACACTCTTTTCATCTCAACGCACGATGG